GGCCGCGACGCCAAACAAGTGTGTGTGTGTGTGTGTGTGTGTGTGTGTGTGTGTGTGTGTGTGTGTGTGTGTGCGTGGGCACCTGTGTGTGTGTGTTTGTGTGTGTGTGTGTGTCTTTCTCGCTCTCTCTCTCTCTCTCTACACACACATACAGAGTCATGTTGTGGTGCTTGTTTCTGTTACCTCTCGTCAGCGTCGGCGTCGCTGTCGTCGTTCGCCCCCCCGTCCTGGCCGTCGTTGTCGACCGTGCTTTGGCTTTTGGCATCGGCCGCTTCTCATGCTGATGGTTGATTTGTCGTACTCGCCATCACCACACTGCTTCTTCTGATTTTTGTCCCTTGTCTTCTGAGTGTCTTGCCCGGTACTGTGTGTCTTGTCCCTCGTCTTCTGATTTTTGTCCCTCGTCTTCTGATTTTTGTCCCTCATCTTCTGAGTGTCTTGCCCGGCACGGTGTTGACGACACGTCTCTCTCTCAGGGTGGCGACGCCTTAGGCCGTCCAGTGCGCTTATCTCTCCTTCCCCCCCGTCGTCGCCCCTCCGTTGCCGCAGGTGCACGACCTGAGTGCTGTTCCCCTCTCCCCTGGCAGCGCGCGCGTGTGCCATTGCCTTTTTTCGCATATGGATTCCGCACAGGACTTCAGACGTTGTTATGTGTGTGTGTGTGATATTCAAGCGACGCCCTGCTGGCTTCTTCAAGCACTGCGCTTCCGCTGCAGCTCTGGTCTTCAGGATCGGTGCCCCGCCGCCGCTCAGAATGGCGCCTTCGCCTTGCGCGGCCACACTTCTGGTCCCGAGTCGTTCCTCGTCGTTGCCTCTTGATTCCTTCTCCGCCTTCCCCAGATCCCGCTGCTCCTCTTATCCCTCCCGTTCCCGCTCGCGCTTCTGCTGTTCCTCCTTTTCCTTGATCCTCCTCCTCGTCCTCCGCCGCCTCCTGCTCTTCCTTTTCCCGTCCTCGCTACGGCCCAGATATCGAGCAGGCTCCAACGCAGTGGGAAGGGATGGTGTGGGAGGGACGGGATGCCGGACCTGGCGCGAGCGCGCCTCGCCTCTCTGAGCCCCTCTCTTTCCGCCCCCTCCGACCTCCCTCCCCTCCCCCCTGCTGTCTTTGCCCTCCCCCCTCCACTTCCCGCGCCCATCCCCTTCCAGCCGTCCTCTGCCCTCACCTCTCCTGCCCTCTCCTCTCCCCCCCCTCCCCGCCGCCCCCGCCCCCCTTGCCCTCTCCTGGGCGCGCTCCTGTCCGAAGCTCCTCGCCGCTCTGCGGCGTCACGCGGGCAGCTGGGCTCGAGCTGGCCCTGCTGGCATCTCTCCGTCTTCGGGCAGGGCTCCTCTCGACGCCTCCGATCCGCTTCGATTCGATGCCGATGGCTTCCGATTCCGATTCGATTCGACGTCGGATTCCTGTTTGGATTCCGATTTCTCCATGGAGGCCTATTGCCCTGCCGATTCCCGCCGGATCGGCTTCTCCCGACTCGGCTGCCGATTTCCGCCGATCCGATTAATGTCGATCGCCGGTCCGACTTTTCGATTCGATTCTGGGCCTTCTTGCCTCAGATCGGCACCACCTTGGCCCGTCGATCTTCGGACCTGTATCGCGGACGTTCCCCCGAAGACCCGTGCGGCAGAGCAAGAGGGTGAGGGTAGAGGAGGAGGAGGACCAGTGTAAACCCAAGACTCGTCAGTGATGTTGGAATTCACCTTCCTCCAAGATCCCTCTTCACAGGCCGCTACAAGGGTCCATTTCCACCGAGGGAAGTGCCCCGTTGGGGGGACAACCGTGTGAGAATCCTGAAGCGTACCAAAAAACAATTCTCAGGACTTCCACGCCACTAGTCAACTTGACTGTTGCGTCTTGACGATCCTGAATCGTGCCAGAACTCCATTCCTGGGGCTTCAACACCGCGAATCAACGGAAATGCTGCGCCCTGGCAATCATCACAATTTCTGGTAATTACGCTAACCATGAGAACCAGTGAAACTCTAGGAAATTCTTGAAACGGATGTGCGCTGCGCTAAGGCGAGAGCTACATTTCGAAAGCTAGCCGCGATCAATCCGTGAAGCTTTTGCAATGTATAATAAGACGTGTGTGCGCGGCGCTAAGGCGAGAGCCACATTTTGAAAACGACCTGTTCTCAATAAATGAAGCCCTTGCGAATGTTTGAAACGAATGTGCGCGGCGCGATGGCGAGAGCCACATTTTGAAAACCACCCGCTCTCAATCTGTGACGCTTTCAATGTTTCGAACGTATGTGTGCGGCGCGATGGCGAGAGCGAGATTTTGGAAGCGACCCGCCTTCCATCTGTGAAGCTGTTGCCAGTTTTTCTGCTTCAGGCTGGTCAATCGTAAGGAAACCTTAGGCGAAACGCCCGGCACGCCCTTCCGAATGGCCTCGGGGTGCGAACATATCAGGAAAAGGAGGGGAAGGTAAGGGAAGTGGAAATGCGGAGGAGAAGGAGAAGGAGAAGGAGAAGGAGGAGGAGGAGGAGAAGGAGGAGGAGGAAGAGGAGGAGGAGGAGGAGGAGGAGGAGGAGGAGGAGGAGGAGGGACAGCATCACAGATCCCCATTCCCCCTTCCCTGCCGCCGCAAGCAGAGGATTGCTTTCTGGCGGGTGTGGCGAGGTAGGGCCTCTCAGGCGGGCGTCCCGCCTGCGCCTCTCCTCTCTCCTCGTCCCTCCTCCTCCCTCCTCCCTCCTCCCTCCTCCCGATCCTCCTCCTCCCTCCCGCCTGCGCCTCTCCTCTCTCCTCGTCCCACTTCCCCCGATCCCTGGTTTGGCGTCCTGGCGGGCCCGCCCCCATGCGCCGGCGCGAGGTGGGGGCGTGGAACGCGAGGAGCCCCGGGTCGGAGGTCATGAAGGACGACCGCATCGTTGCGGTCGCCCAGAGCGGGCTCCTCCTCTTTCTCTTCCTCCTCTCCCTCCTTCCACCTCCTTTCTGCTCTTCCTCCTCCTATTCTTCCTGCCCCTCCTCTTCCTCGTCCTCCTCGTCCTCCTCCTCCTCCTCCTCGTCGTCCTCTTTCTCCTCCTCCTCCTCCTTCTCCTCCTCCTCCTCCTCCTCCTCCTCCTCCTCCTCCTCCTCCTCCTCCTCCTCCTCCTCCTCCTCCTCCCCCTGCTGAGGGGATGCTGCACTGGGGCTCGTACACATGCAGCCTCCCGCGTACCGTACCTCGTGGTGTCTGGCTGACGGCCCTGGTGGTCCAGCTCATCGCACATTTTTTATATTGTAGAGGCCTCCGGCCAGTGCCGCCGATCCGGGACGATCCCGCTGTCAGAAGGACGCTTTCGCCCCAGCGCGTTTGTTCAAACGTAAGTGGTTTGGAAACAGCTTGGAGGCATTGCGGGGGCTTCTTGAGGGGCCTCTTCGACGCATCTTCGAGGCCTCCTGGGGGGGCGTCTTGGAGGTGATTGTTGAGCCTCTTTGGGCCTTTTGGGTTTCTTGGGGGGCATGCAGGAGGCATCCTGGAGGCCTCCTGGGGGTGTGTAGGAGGTAATTTCTCAGCCTTCGAGAGCGCTTTTGGGCGCATTTTGGGGGCATCTTGAGGGCCACTTGGTACCTCTTGGGGACTCCTGGGGTCATTTTGGTGCCTCCTGGGCGCCTCTTGGGCCGTCTTGGGCCCTTCTGGGGCCGTCATGGAGCCCTCTCGGGCGCTTCTTGGGCCCGTCCTGGGGCCCGCTTGGGCTGTCTTGGGGGCCTCCCGGGCCGTCTTGGGCCCTTCTTGGGCCGACTTGGGGCCCTCTTGAGAGCCTTCGGGCCTGTCTTGGGGGTCTCTTGGGCCGTGTTGGACACTGCGAAGGCCGAAGCGAAAATACAAAAAACACACAACGTTTTCCCAAGGGAATGGGACAGATTTTCCGTCTCTGGACACTCTTAGGAGGTGTCGGGAAGATACGTTGGAGGCTTTTGGAGCTGTCTGAGGAATGTCTTGGAGCGATGTTTCGACCACCCATGGCCCTCTTGAGCCGTCTGGGCGGCCGCTTTTTTTTTTCTCCCCCCCCAACCATCCTGTGGTGTTGGGTCCTCGTTTTGAAGAGACGGTGCCCCGCGTTCCTCCTCTCCTCCTCTCCTCCTCCTCCTCCTCCTCCTCCTCCTCCTCCTCCTCCTCCTCCCCCACCATCATCATCATCATCACCATCATCATCATCATCATCATCATCATCATCATCATCACCATCACCATCACCATCACCATCACCATCACCATCACCATCATCATCACATCATCATCATCATCAGCATCATCATCATCATCATCATCAACGTCATCGTCATCACCATGATCATCATCGACATCATCGACGTCATCATCACCACCACCACCATCATCATCATCATCATCATCATCATCATCATCATCATCATCATCATCATCATCATCATCATCATCATCATCATCACCCATTTCGGAACACCCCTCACACGTTTCGTGGCCCCATAGGGAGCTCCACCGAAGGCTCCAGTGCTGCCGCCCGCATGCGTCAGCCACACCCAATTCTGCACACCCCTCACACGTTTCGTGGCCCCATAAGGAGCGCCACCGAAGGCCCCAGTGCTGCCGCCCGCATGCGTCAGCCACACCCAATTCGGCACACCCCTCACACGTTTCGTGGCCCCATAGGGAGCTCCACCGAAGGCCCAGTGCTGCGCCCGCATGCGTCAGCACACCCCTCACACCGTGGCCCCAGCCCGCGTGCTGCCGTCAGGGCGTCCAGCTCCACCGAAGGCCCCAGTGCTGCCGCCCGCATGCGTCAGCCACACCCAATTCTGCACACCCCTCACACGTTTCGTGGCCCCATAGGGAGCTCCACCGAAGGCCCCAGTGCGCCGCCCGCATGCGTCAGCCACACCCAATTCGGCACACCCCTCACACGTTTCGTGGCCCCATAGGGAGCTCCACCGAAGGCCCCAGTGCTGCCGCCCGCATGCGTCAGCCACACCCAATTCGGCACACCCCTCACACGTTTCGTGGCCCCATAGGGAGCTCCACCGAAGGCCCCAGTGCTGCCGCCCGCATGCGTCAGCCACACCCAATTCGGCACACCCCTCACACGTTTCGTGGCCCCATAGGGAGCTCCACCGAAGGCCCCAGTGCTGCCGCCCGCATGCGTCAGCCACACCCAATTCGGCACACCCCTCACACGTTTCGTGGCCCCATAGGGAGCTCCACCGAAGGCCCCAGTGCCGCCGCCCGCATGCGTCAGCCACACCCAATTCGGCACACCCCTCACACGTTTCGTGGCCCCATAGGGAGCTCCACCGAAGGCCCCAGTGCCGCCGCCCGCATGCGTCAGCCACACCCATTCGGCACACCCCTCACACGTTTCGTGGCCCCATAGGGAGCTCCACCGAAGGCCCCAGTGCCGCCGCCCGCATGCGTCAGCCACACCCAATTCGGCACACCCCTCACACGTTTCGTGGCCCCATAGGGAGCTCCACCGAAGGCCCCAGTGCTGCCGCCCGCATGCGTCAGCCACACCCAATTCGGCACACCCCTCACACGTTTCGTGGCCCCATAGGGAGCTCCACCGAAGGCCTCTGTGCCGCCGCCCGCATGCGTCAGCCACACCCAATTCGGCACACCCCTCACACGTTTCGTGGCTCCCGTAGGGAGCTCCACCGAAGGCCCCAGTGCCGCCGCCCGCATGCGACCCGCAAACCCATTCCGGCACACCCCTCATGCGCTTCGTGGCCCCATAGTGAGCTCCACCGAAGGCCCCAGTGCCGCCGCCCGCATGCGTCAGCCATACCCAATTCGGCACACCCCTCACACGTTTCGTGGCCCCATAGGGCTCGCCACCGAAAAAGATATTCACAATTGCGGTATTCACAACTTCATATGGTTGGGTCCTTCGCCAGGATAATTTTTAGATGAACCCGCGTGCGAGCTTTCCGGGGCGAGGGGCCGACCCGGAATGTGCTGGAGCTCCGATTTTGCTACCAAAATTGACTCGGACCCCCCCCCCTACCCCGGCAGAGCCACCCCGGCACCCATCCCCCCAGCAGAGTTGAAGCTCAAGAACTGAGGCTCAGGCTATATCTGAGGGTCTTTGAAATTCACACGCCGGATCGGCGGATTTCAGCTGACGGTAGCAACTTTCCCATTGGAATTGCATGGTTGCGGATGAAGTTCGGTTGTGCGATCCCAGCGAGGAACTCAAAGCATTGGACATCGTCGCACTTCCAAACGCGTGTGAGAAAGTTTCTCCTGACCAGCCTGTGGTGCTCACTACGCTAATTACGCTATCATTCAGCCATATGCAGCGGGTCTGTTCCTGGTACACCTGTGAATCCTTCGTGCGTGTTCAAGAAAAAGCACGCCGTCGACTCCCCCGCACTTCCTTTGTTTATTCGCGGTCGACTTGCGGTTCGCCGCATTCGGTCTGGCACATTCTACGTTGCTTTCAGGTCGGCGTATTGCACGTGAGTATGAGGAAGTTGGCCCGCAGAAGGGCTACAGGCAGACTGTATACGCAATGTGCTCCCGACTAGAGAAGGTGTTCTTGTGTTGTCGGAAGCGCTCGTCGCTGCTGTGGGGCTCCGACCTGCATGGTTCGCTTGGATGGCGACGACTGGCGGGAGGCGTTCAGGAGCAGGTTGTATATCGGGCTCTCGGGGCACATCGGGACGGCGAACCACGATGCGCTACTGATCGTGTGCCCGACATCATGGAACGACATGCGATCAAGGCGGTCTCGACGGAGTTCATCTTCGCCCCCGCCTTCTCTGGCGACTCGAGTACGAGCCGAATTGACGTTCTTGGGGCGTTTTCAACTGACAGCGGCCTATGGTTGATGGGTGTATCGCTATACGATTTTTTATATTAGCTTGTTTCCAGTGTTGGTATCCGGCGCAATAACCCTTCTTCTTCTTCTTCGACTGGACTATCCGTTTGATCTCTCATCTTCGATCCCCACTTGCACGGCATGGGGTTTTGGTCCGTTGGCGGAGGTACTGGGAATGGGGGTCCGTGAGTTTCTTCACGATTTGGAGACGCAGTTCGAGGGTGTCGATTTTCACGACATGCTGCTGAACGCGTCGACGCCCGATCGAGGGTGGGAGCGATCGGTCACGACTGTGTGAACTGTTACTAGTCGACGTTTCTCTCGCGACGCTGCTGCCGACCCTCGATCGCGTGCTTCCGGGATGTAAAGGAATGCCTCTGATGGAACGACGCCAGGCTCGCGAGGGCGGATTCGACGATCTTCTTTCGGCGCTTCGGTCGTCTGGGCTATCTCGGCAGCTTCGGGTGTTTTGTCTGTCTTGGCATGAGGGTAGCTGGGCAGCTGGTGAGTGAGATAGGCACGGCCAGGCAACGACGTCAACAAACTGAGGTTTGGCGACTTGCACATGTTCTTACGGGCAAGTGCGGAGGTCCTCGGCGTCGCAAGTATAACGCGGCTGACGAGTTTGTTTCCCGGAGTGGCGAGGTTCGCGCGCGCTTCGCCTCGTCGGGCCCTTCTGGTGGCTTTGAATATGTCCCCGTAGATTTCTTGGGGTGCCATGAGTCCCATATCGAAGTTCGCTCCGAGACCTCCCATGTACTGTTTAGTTTAGACAACATCGGACATGTCGGGTTCGGTCGTGGCGATGTTGAACAGGTTTAGCAACTCCTAGCGGAAGTTTCTCGTCGTGAGGCGGCCCCTATTACGCAGCGCGCCAACGGAACTGCCCCCCTTGGCATTGCATCCCCAGCGGCGGTTCGATGGTTCGCCTCGGCGGCCTCGGCAACGGGGCAACGAGAATGGCGATGACGACGGCCTTCGTCAGGATGTGCCAGCTTCCGTTCCTCGGCGTGGGCTCGCAGGGGACCGCCGCGGTTTGGGCGCGGCTCTTGACGCGTTCGCGAACGAGGATATTTTGCGAGGGCTCCAGGAGATCTGCCATTGCATTCGAATGGTTGGGCGCCCTCCACTGGTCTGGCGAAGCTTTCGAGCCACGGGAGTAAGCAAGCAGAAAGGAAAGGCAGGTTTCAGCGCTCGCGCGTATTCGCGGACTGTGTCGGCTGGGGGTTGCGTAGTTTAAGACGGTGTCCCGCTGGCGATATGCCCGACAAAGAACGCGGGTGCCGCGCCGGCCGAAACCACGAGGGGGCTTCGGTCTGTCAACAGGCGCTCTGGCAACGTTCGCGGGCTCTGGGAATCTCTTCCGGGACCTCCAAAGAGGATATGTCGAGTGCTTTTGGCGTTCGAATTTCTCGGAGCTCAGGCGCCCGGTCGAGGCCTCATTAGCTGAACCTGAAGAAAGGTTTTTGCCCACCGCATGCGCGAGCGCAGCACGTCCGCGATAGTGGGGGCTGGCGGGGGGCAGACCTTGCGCGGCATATATGGCGCGTTTGTGGGCGACAGCCCTGCTGCGGCGTTCTTGGCTCGCACTTGTCGGCGGCCAAATCAGAGTTGGATCGATGATATTCGGGCGCATGTTTGGCGCGGCGCTCCTCCTCTTCGCCCTTGCACTTATCAAGAATGGGTTGAACAACCTCTCGTTCCTCCTGCTCTTCCCGCAGATCTGTCAAGGGTGCTCTGGCCGAGTGAAGCCCCGTGTGCAGCGTGGGCTTCGATTTTTCAGCGGCTAGTGGACCTCTCGCGCAGGATGCATGCGGGTGACGCCAGCAAGGCCCATGTGGTTACTTCTGCCAAGAATGTGCAGTGCGCTTTATCGGTTGCAAAGACGGCCTTAGTGCTACTCTCGCTGCTTGTTTCCCGTGCGCGCGGTTGTTGTGGTGTACACATCGGCGGCGTACACAGGCGATGTTGTGCACGCAGGCGCTGGTGTGCACCAGCGCTGTGTTGCACGCGGCTGTTGTTGTGTACGCAGGCGCTATGGTGCGCGCAAGCACCCCTGCTTTGGTGACAATAGAAGATGATGTTCCTCCCTCCCCCCTATCTTACTCTCCTCACAGTTCCCGTTTGTGCTCGCGGGCTACGGCGACGGCGACGGCGACGGCGACGGCGACGGCGAGGGCTCACAGTTTCTCGGGCGTCCGGCCACGGCGACGGCGACGGCGGCGACGACGACGACGAACGACGACGTCTTGGGGCCTCCAGACGCCCCAGGACGTCGTCGATCGTCGTTGTGTCGCTCAAGGGTTCTCTTGGCTCAAGCACCTTGGCCTCCTGCTGCTGCTGGTCCTCGTGCTTCTCCTGCGTATATTCCTCATGCTGGCGCTGTTCCGCGCACCCCCGGGCAGCGTGGTGTTCATGGGCGCTGTGGTGTATGCAAATGGTGCCGCAGCAGCTGCAACGGTCTCAAGCATTCATGGTTGTCGCACGCAGGCAGGAAAATGCAAAGAGGCAGCGCGGTGTATGCAGGCAGTGTCTACCAAAAACCAGGTGACCGCGCCCCGGGCCACAAAAGTCAATCTTCATTTTAAACCGACATATTAATTTTGATACGTTCGGGCCCCCGGCGGTGGCATGATATACGCGTGCGCTCTAATGCAAGCGGCCGCTGTGACTGCTGTGCACGCGGCGCTGCTTGCGGGCTACACAGGCGCTGCGGTGCACGCGCACGGCTGCAGCGGTACATACGGCAACGGCTCTGTGATGCACACGGCTGTTGTGATGTGCGCGTGCCATGTGGTGTACACAGGCGCTGTGTTGCACGCGGGCCTTGCGACGCAGGCGCTCAGGCGCTCTACTTTGATGCACACAGGAGCTGTGGAACTCGCAGGCACTGCGGTGTACAACGGCGCTGTGGTGTGCACGGCTGCTGTGGTGTACACAGGCGATGTCGTGCTCGCAGCCACTGCGGTGGACACAGGCGCCGTGGTGTGCACGGCTGCTCTGGTGTACACGGGCGCTGCGGTGAACACGGGCGCTGTGGTGCACGCAGGCATTGCGTTGTGCACCAATGCTGTGTTGCACGCGGCTGAACTGGAGTACGCGGGCGCTGCGGTGTACACAGGCGTTGTGGTGCACGCAGGCACTGCGGTGTGCACTGGCGCTGTGTTGCATATGGCTGCTGTGGTGTACGCAGGCGCTGCGGTGTGCACTGGCGCTGTGTTGCACACGGCTTCTGTGGTGTACGCAGGCGTTTTTTTGCTTGTGGGGCGGCCTCAAAAGACAGCTACCCACTCCTGCACACTTGCACATTACGAATATTCTCCTCTCTCCCCTGACTTTGTTCAGAAGATCTCCAGCCCTCTCAGCGTCCTTCGTTCAGAAGGGGGCTCCCGCTCCAGCGCGGGCCACTGTTCTGGATCCGAATCCTTTTTCATCGTTGTCGCCCTCTTTATTTCCCCGCCTCTGTCTTCCTCTGGTCTTCCTGCCCCTCTCATTCCTTCCACTCCAGGTGCTGCTGCTGCTGCTGTTCGTCCTCATTCTCCTCCTTCATCATCCCCCTCCTCCTTGTCCTCCTGCTTACTCTCCTGCTCACCCGCCACCTCCTCCATATCCCATGTACGCAGTTCCCCATTTCCGCTTGGGCATAGCACGATGGGGTCTTGCTGTTGGAGTTCCAGGTCGGCTATGACACGCGTCCGCGGATAGAGAATCATCCGCGCAATGGGAAGGGATGGGGGGGAAGGGTAGGATGCCGGATATGGCGCGAACGCACCTAGCTTGCCCGTCCCTCGTCTCCTCCTCTTCTCCCGCTTTCAACCTCTCCTGCTCTCGTCCCCTCTTCTCCTTCCTCCCGTCCCCCTCCTCCCTCCCCCTCCTCCCTCCCTACTCCCTCCCTCATTCCTCCTGCTCCCCCTGGGAGACTGGAGGGCACTGGAGGGCGGCTCGGGGGGGCCGCCAGCCCGGCCACCGCAGCCGCCAGCCCCACGATCGCAGGTCGGGGGCGTGCGCGTGACCAAAGAGAACTTCAAGGACTTCGGGCGCCGCGGAAGCGCCCTGCTCCCTCCGCCGCGGGAGGTGTTGGTGTGTCGGGCGCCGCAGCCGCCGCCGCCGCCGCCGTCGTCGGCGTCGGCGTCGTCGTCGGCGGCGTCGTCGTGGTCGTCGTCGTGGTCGTCGTCGTCGTCGTCGTCGTCGTCGTCGGCGTCGGCGTCGGCGTCGGCGTCGGCGTCGGCGTCGTCGTCGTCGTCGTCGTTGGAGCCGCCGGAGTAGGAATTGGAGTCGTCGTCGGTTGTTGATGAGGAGAAGGGGGGGGGGAGGAGGGGTGGGGTGGAAGAAAGAGGTCGGAGGAAGAGGAATGAGGAGGAGACGGAGGAGGAGGAGGTGGAGGAGGAGGAGGCGGAGGAGGAGGAGGAGGAGGAGGAGGAGGAGGAGGAGGGAGGAGGTGGAGGAGGAGGGGGCGGAGGAGGAGGAGGAGGAGGAGGAGGAGGAGGAGGAGGAGGAGGAGGAGGAGGAAGGAGGGGAGGGAGGAGGAGGAGGAGGAGGAGGAGGAGGAGGAGGAGGAGAGGAGGAGGAGAAGGAGGAGGAGGAGGGGAAGGGAGGAGGAAGAGGAGAGGAGGAAAGGGGAGGAGGAGGGGCAGAAGGGAGGAGGGGAGGAGGGAGTGGGGACATAGAAGAGAAGAGGGGGAGGGAGGGGGGCGGGAGGAGGGGGAGGGGAGCTCATATCGTCTGCTCACTGGGAGGCGGGATGGAGGAGGAGGGGGGATGACCGGGACGAGGGAGCAGGAGCAGGAGGAGTGGTCAGGTGAGCTGGGTTTGAGCGAGTCACCGGGCCCCGCCCGCTCTCCCGGGCCCCGCCCGCGCCCGCGCTCCCTCCCGCAGGATGCTGGCGCAGGCTGATTTCGGGACTGGGGCGCGTTCCCCCCCCCAGCCTTGCGCAGAGGGGGGTGGGGGGAGGGGGAGGGCTTCTTAGAAGCACCCCTGCTTCTTAGAAGGCGCGGGCCTTATCTATAGATGTAAGGCTGGCGCCTTCTACGAAGCAGCCTGCTTCTAAGAAGCCCTCCCCCCTCCCCCCTCCCCCTTGTGCGCGCCGCCAACCCCCCCAGCGAACGGATGGCGCTCGCGTTCGGTCCCGCCTCCGACGACCTTCAGGCGATCGCAAGCATGGATCGAGGGGGCGTGGACATCGCGGACATTAGCGACGGGTCCCCTTTCCGCGAGACATCGCGGATTTGCGCCGCCGAGCGAGGCGGCACCGGCCGCATTTTGGGGAGTGCACCTCCCCCGATCCATGGATTTGGCTCCATGGATCGCTAATCCATGTTTGCGCGCCCCCGAGACTTGGCGGTGGTGTGGGGGGGAGGGAAAGAACGGGGCCGCGCACGGGTGGGAGCGGAACTTCCAGCACGCGTGTGCGCGGCGCTTTGGGGCGAGAGCACGAGTAGGCCCCCTCGCTCGCGCGGCCAAGTTCTCGACGAAGTCATGCGCTGCGCAGTGCTGCCCCTTTCACGCGAGTCTGCGCGGCGAATGGGCGAGGGCGACAGTGCGCTCCGCTCGCGCCGGGCCCTGGCCTTGTTCAAACTTTTGCGCCGCGCCCAAGCGGGAGCGTCATTTTCAGGCGAACTCTGCGCGGAGCTTTGGCCGTAATTTTGAAGATGGTCCCTGCGTTGATGGCCCAAGGGCTGCTCAAGAATTGCGCCTTTCGCTCCCATGAACGGCTGCCAAGTGATGCGAAGCGATAGCAGAAGTGAGCGGCAGACGCCAGCGAAAAAACACCTGATCAAAAGTCACGCCCCATTGGATCCACCGAAATCTCCTTGACCCCGAGAGTCTCTCACTTCTCCTCCCCCCTCTCCTCCTTCCTCTGCGTCCCCCTCCCTCCCCCCTCGTCCTCCTGGCCTCCTTCTCCTTCGCCTCTCTTCCTCCTCCTCCCTCCTCCATTCCTTTTTCTTATAGTATAAGTAACTTCTCCCTGTCGCACCCTGGGGCCAGTTTTTAGGGCGGGCCGGGCGTTTCGCCTGAGACTTCCTCACCATGTATGATTCTGAAGCATTAGAATTGGCAACGGTTTCGCAGATGGAGGGCGGGCCGTTTTCGAAATGTGGCTCTCGATTTAGCGCGGCGATATTTGATTTTACATATTTGCAAGAGTTCCACGGATTGAGGGCGGGTGGTTTTCGAAATGTGGCTCTCGCCTTAGCGCGGCGCACGTTCGTTTTAAGCATTTGCAGGAGTTTCACGGATTGAGGGCGGGTGGTTTTCAAAATGTGGCTCTCGCCGCACATTCGTTGACACAATGTGTAAGAATTTCACGGAGTGAGGGCGGTTCCTTTTCAAAATGTAGTTCTCGATTTAGCGGCGCGCACATTCGTTTACAACATGTTCAAGAGCTTTACGGCTTCCCATCATCAACGTACCAGAAATTCTGTGTTGGAAGGATTCACAATTTTGCGGGTGCAACAGTTACGTGATTCTAATTCTCTGTGTGGAAGTCCTAGGAATGGCGTCTTGGCACGATTCAGGATCATCAAGACGCAACAGTCAGGTTGATCCGTTGCGTTGGAATCCCGAGAACAATGTCTTGGCATGCTTCAGGGTCTTGAAACGGGTGCCTTCCAACGGGGAGGTTCCATCAATGGAATTGAACCGATGTATGGGCCTATGAAGAGGGAGCTTGAAGGGAGGATTTACTCCAACATCTATGATGACTCTTGGGTTTACACTGGTCCTCCTCCTCCTCCTCCTCCTCCTCCTCCTCCTCCTCCTCCTCCTCCCCTCCCTCTGCTCTTCCCCCCTTCCTGCTTCAACTGCACCGTCTGAGTGTTGCTCTCCTCTCCCCCCTGGAACTGCGGCTGCTCTTCTGCCTCCCCCGCTCTCTTCCCACACGCAGCGCTCCAGCGCTCCAGCGCTCCCCAAGCAGTGCTTGAGCTCAGGGGCTCCTGCTTCGGCTTCCGAGCAGCTGGGTGGGCTTCCCGGCCACGTGCCCGCCCGTTACCGCCCCGTGCTCCCTTTCGTGGGCGCCTCGTGGGTGCCCCGTGCGCTGGGTGGGTTTCCGGAGGCTTCCCCTCGCTCCCGCTCGTGGGCGCCCCGTTCGTGGGCGCCTCGTGGCTTGCACCACATCGCCCACACCACATAGCTCACACCGCACCGCACACACACACACACACCAAGTCTTGCACCACACACACACACATATATATATATATATTACACCGCATAGCTCACACCACATAGCTTACACCGCGTAGCCCGCACCAGGTAGCTTACAGCGCATAGCTCACACAGCCTAGCCTGCACCACATAGCTCACGCAACATAGCTGATATCGCAGCGCTCTCACCACATAGCTTACCTGGCATAGCTCACACCATATAGACCACGCCGCATACCCTAAACAAGATAGCTTACACACCGCGTAGCTCACACCACATAGCTCACACTGCGTAGCTCACACAATACAGCTTAGACTACATACCTCATACCGCATAGCTCACACCCTCTAGCGCATACAGCACATCTTACACAGCATAGCTCGCACCACATCGGCTACACTGTATAGCTCACACCTCACAGCACACACCGCACATCTCTCACCTTCATAGTGCAATAACCCTCTGTTTGGGGTCCACGCTGGCTAAGCTTATATACATCTACATGCACTTACGAGGAAGCGCTGGCAATATTTTATGATCGGCGGTTTGCTCCCGTCGATCATAATGGCGCTTTTGCAGCAGCGCGGCCTGTATTCATGGACTCGAATCCTTCTTCGTTTTTGTTGTCCCTGTTCCTGCAGCTTCCTCTGCTCCTGCTGTTGCTGCTGCTCCTTCTCCTCCTCCTCCTCCTCCTCCTCCTCCTTATCCTCCTGCTCATTCGCCTCGTCCTCTTTCTGATGGCGCATCGCACGATAAGGGGCCATTGATTGGGGATCAAGGTCCTCTCGGACATCCCGGTCGACGGAAAGAATTGATTCAGCGCAGGGTGAGAGGATGGGTGGGAGGGTCACGGTGCCAGATGTGGCGCGAGCGCACCCAGTGTGCCTCCCCCCCCTCCTCCGCTCGCCTCTCTCCTCCCGTGCCTCCCCCCCTCCCCTTTTCTAGCCAAGCCCCTCCTCCTCCCCAGATGCCCGACGTGGTGTCTTTGTGTTGCTGTGCTTTTGGTTGTCTCAACATGCGGACCTCCAGAGGTCCCGACCCATTCCCCAGGACTGGCTCTCGTCCTGGGCCGCTCCTGCTGACGGCCCCCGGGCCCGGCGAGTGCCCCCCCCCCCCCCCGCGACCGAGTAGAGCCACAGACCTCCCGCCGGTGCCTTCTGCACGACGCCAGGGGGTCCAGGCGCCCTTGCCTCCCCCGCCCTGCTCTCCCGCCGCGCGGGGGCGGAGGAGGCGGATGCCCGCAGGAGGAGCTCGCGCGGGCCTCCGGCAAGGTCGAGGTGCTGGTGCAGCGCACCACCACCGTGATCGAGCGCGCCGCGGCCGAGGAGGCAAGGCCGTGCCCGCGCCCGCCTCTTCGGGCCTGCGCCGCCGACGGCTTCGTCGGCCAGAAGTCTTCGACGCTGACGTCGACGTCGTCGGCGTCGGACGTCGTCGACGTCGGCGTCGATGGTCTTGTGGCCCTCTGGGGGCTTCTCGTCTCCACGGCCGGGTCCGCCTCGAAGTTCCGGTCAGGACTCGCCAAGAGCCAGTCCAGGGGTCGTCTTTAACCGTCCCCGCCTCCCCAGGCGCCGCTTCGCGCTTCGAGAGAATCGCGTCGGAGGGCTTTTGGGTCATTTTCCGCCGGTCTGCGGCTGTGTTTCACCGAGGGCGTTCCACTTCTCGCAAAGTGCCTATTCGGAAACGCCCGAAAAACACGTCTGCTGTGATGTAATTTGTCGTAGATCCCCCGCGGCGGATCCAGGCCTTTTGCGAGAAATTACTTCTCGAGTAGTGGAACGCGCTCGTCTAGTGTTTGTAGGCTCCCGCCGGGCCTCGTAGTCTCTCGAAGGCCTTTGGATGTTCTCAGGGGCTCCCGACGGCTCTGGCCGTCGCCGCCGCCGTCGCCTCCGTCGGCGCCGCCGTCGCCGCCGCCGTCGGCGGTGGCGCGGCCGCCGTCGTCGTCGACGTCGTCGACGTCGGACGTCGATCGGGGATCTAGGTTCCAGGATCGGCGCTCGAGGTTTGGAGGCCTCTTCTCTGTGTCTTTGGCTTGGGGGTTCTAGCCACGGCAGAGAGAGACTGAGAGAGAGACAAACACTTATACATACAGAGAGAGAGAGAGAGGGAGGGAGAGAAAGAGAGAAATAGAGAAAGAGAGAAAGAAGTACGGTCGTAAACGGGCGCAGGGAGAGCCGTTTTTTGAATTCCGTCGCTCGCCTGGGCATGCTTATTTCGGAGCGGATACAGATCCACCATGTCCTCCCCCCCATTCCAGAAAGGATGAACACACTCAGGAGGAGGAGGAGGAAGGGAGGGGGAGGAGGAGGAGGCGGAGGAGGAGGGGAGGAGGAGGAGGAGGAGGAGGAGGAGGAGGAGGGAGGAGGAGGGAGGAGGAGGAGGAGGAGGAGGAGGAGGGAGGAGGAGGAGGAGGGGAGGCGGAGGAGGAGGAGGAGGAGGAGGAGGAGGAGGAGGAGGAGGAGGAGGAGGAGGAGGAGGAGGAGGAGGAGGAGGAGGAGGAGGAGGAGTGCGAAGATGAGGCGGAGGAGGAGGAGGGAGGAGGAGGAGGAGGAGGAGGAGGAGGAGGAGGAGGAGGAGGAGGAGAGATGAGGAGAGCAGGATGAGGAGGAGGAGGAGGAGGAGGAGGAGGAGAGGAGGAGGAGGAGGAGGAGGAGGAGGAGGAGGAGGAGGAGGAGGAGGAGGAGGGGGAGGTGGAATTCTGTGTCACTGTTCGACTTCTACTACTTCCTTTGCTGTTTTTTCTGCACTGCATTTGCACGCGGACCTCCGCGCGGCTTGGTATGCTCTATGTTTCCCCCCCGCGGCCTGCTGCCGCAGAGTCTGTTCGCCGATTCAAACGCCAGTCGCGGGTTTCCAGTCCAGTCCTCGCCTTGGCGCGGCGCGAGTTCTTTCCAAACGTTCTCAACGTATGATGATGAACATGCCGATGCCAGCGCCCTTCCCTCCTTCTCGCCTCCTTGGTCCTCACGGGGAGCCCTCGTCGCCACAGCAGGATTCGCTTGGTGACCATGGTAAAAACGCCTCTTCGGAGAGGTCCAGGGAGTACATGGCCCACTTTGCGACGTTCCGATGCGGCCCGATGCTTGCGTGGCGTTGTTGCACATCATGGCGCAGCTGATCCGATTCGATTTTGACCTTCTGCCGCTGTGGCCCGATCCACCGCACGTTCCGGCTGGATGCGACGTCCCGATTCGATAATGATTGATCTTGGGGAGGATCGGTATCGGGAACTTCTTGCTTTGCTCATTTCAGCAGTTGCACAGATGGTGTCCAGGCCGTTTTCCAAACCAGGTTTCAAGATGTGCGTATCTGACGTGAGCACGTGAACGCGGCATGCGCGCCCTAACGGGCTGGCAGCAGCGCGCACACATTCCTCCACCCTCTCGCGTTCTACCTCGGTCGTCCCCCCCTTGTCGTCCGTCCCTCTCTCGCTCGCCTCGCCTCGCCTTGCGTCCCCGCTCGTCGTGCGTCCCTCCCTCTCTTCGTGTGTCTTCCTCTCTCCAGTATGTCTGAATTCATTAACCATATAGCGCTTGCCGACGCGCCTGTGGGCGTACGGCTTCTACCTGTCTGTGTGCCGCACGCTTGCCTGGAGGAGCGTCCAGCGGTTGCATGGGCAGAGCTCCGTCCTCTGCTTGCACTTGCCCTTCAACTGACATCATTCCATACCTCCCAGGTCGGAGGATGTCGCCGCATCGCCGATGTATTGCCGATGCATCGGCGACGTCGGCGATGCATTGGCGACGTCGGCGTGGAGAAAATCTGGCTCCACGTCGAGCCGCATCGCCGACTGCCAACCAAGACTGCCAGCCTCACATAGCAGCCACACTGGCGTAAATCGGGCCCGATTGCTGCTATGCTGGTTCCCAGCCCGTCGAGATCACGCCAACGGCTGCCAGCGACTGGCCTGGGCCCTCTCCTTTCGAGCGAGCAAGACCAAGCATCTAGCCAATCGCATAGCAAATAGCTGCACATGAGTGGCAGCCCGGATGTGTACACATGGGCGGACTAGTACAATTACGGTCGGGAACTTTTGGATAGCGTGTCGCTCCGCCAGTTCTGGCTCAGCATGCTGCGGCGCGGCACGCTATCCACTTCTCGGCCCCCCAAGCGTCAACGTCCCGAGCTTTTCCGAGCCCCCCGCGCCGCGGAGCGGGGCGGCACGCTTTCCGCTCGCAGGGCATAGCGTGCCGCCAGGGCCGCCGCCGCGTCACGTTAAGCAGCAGTTCCTGACTGTATGTCGGAGGCGACGATAGGGGCGAATAGCCCAGGTGGGGGGCAACATGTATCCAGGGGCGCCGACGGTCCATGCCTTCGGCGAGACTCCCGGGCAACTGCGTGTAATGCCCGCCCCCGGGCTATTCGCCGCCTCCAGGTGGGCTCTGGGGCGGAGGCGAGTCCGGCCCAGACCTACAGCGTCCCAGATCAGCTCGCAGGGCACAGCGCGTCGCCAGGGCCGCCGCCGCGACACGCTGCGTCAGGCTTCCCGGCTGCACGCCCTGGTGCGCAGGGCGAGTTCGGCCCAACTCCACACAGCGTTCCGTATCCGCGCGGGGGACGGCGGCCCCCCGCGCGTGGCCGCGCCATGGCGCCGGCGGCGTGCCGCCTCGCGCTCGCCGCAGGGCTGCTCGGGGCCAGCGGCCCGGCGGGCGTCGGAGCCCCGTCGTCGTCGTCGTCGTCGTCGTCGTCGTCGTCGTCGCCGCCGCCGCCGTCGTCGTCGTCGTCGTCGTCGTCGTCGTCGTCGTCGTCGTCGTCGTCGTCGTCGTCGTCGTCGCCGGTTTGTTCGTCGGGTCGTCGTCGTCGTCGTCGTCGTCGTCGTCGTCGTCGTCGTCGTGGTCGGCGTCGGCGTCGGCGTCGGCGTCGGCGTCGGCGTCGGCGTCGGCGTCGGCGGCCGAAGTCGGGAGGTGAGGGGGGCCTTAGGTCGGAGGAGGAACGCGTCCTGATGCCGCTGCCCGTCCCTCGTTTTCGCCTCAGAGGCCCTCGTCGTCACGGCTGGATTCGTCTCGAAGTCCTGGTCAGAACACGCCCCGGGAGAGGTCTTGGGGGTCAGCGGCATCAGCACTTTTTTTTGAGCCCCCGCGATTATCGAGGTTCGATGTGGTTGAAGGCTTTGTTCGCGCTGTTCCCGAGTTGGGTGAGGCTCCAGGCTCGAGCCGAAGAAGAAATCATGCATAAGCATGAGTTCTTGAACTCCAGTAGTTGCTGTTTATGCAGCTTCTCGTTCCTCGATCGAGATTCGAGGCCGCAGGCGATCTCTCCCCGAGTGTCCGACTTCCCCTCCCGAAGCTGGCCGCCTGGAAAAGGGAAGCTCGGGGATGTCCCCGAGAGGGGCCATTCGGACGCATCCCTTCTCGAGGATGGGCGCCCCCCTATTGTAAATCCCCGTGTTGGGTCCAGTCGGAGCCCCTCAAAGCGACGACGGCGAGGAACACAAGTAGCGCACACCGACGAATCTGTTGTTACCAACCTCCGCTTCGCCGACGACATCCTCTTGGTCAGCCAGACACTACCCAATTTGAAGACACTGTTTGGGGACTTAATCAAGACAGCAGCTCCTCGCGGCCTTGAAATACACCCGACCAAAACAAAGATCATGACAAACCGGACCATGACTCGGACGCGTTCGGCGAGAGCTGCAACCATGGACATCGAAGTATTACCACCTTCCGGAAAGATTGGAATCTTTCGGCCAGACCATACTTTTTCAAGACGCATCGGCGATCGAAATCCAGCATCGCATCCAAGCGGCATGGGCGTGCTACACAGGGCACAGACAGGAATCAACGAGCAAGCACTACCTACTCAAACACAGACTACGACTGTACCGTGGCACCGTCATACCCACAACGATGTACGGCGCAGAGTCATGGACAATAACATAACCCCTCAAACAGCAGTTGCGCCGCACGCAACGACGGATGGTCAGAGCGATTATCGGAACACCGCGGCGACTTACGTCAGCAGCTTCGTCAACGCATGCTATCCCAGCGACGGGTAACTGACAACGATGATCTCGACGGTAACGCTTCTGACGACTCCAGCGACCACGACGCTTCCAGCGACCCGCCGACTCCATCAGACCCACCCCAAACAAGTGACGACAGCATCGACCCACCCCACACGACCCGGACGCGCCAGCAGGCGGCAGACGATGCCGAACTCTGGTCTGACTACATCCGCCGGTGCACCCGCAGAGCGGAGGAACTCATGAGCATGCACGACATCCCAGACGTCACCCAAATGCATCGCAAAATGGTTTGGCAGTGGGCAGCACGCGTAGCGACCCACCCACCAAACAGGTGGACACACCGAGCTCTGAAATGGAATCCCAATAGAGACACACCACAATAGGATTATCGACAGCACGGTGGCCACCACAAGCGATGGGACGAAGATTTGCGGAAGTTTCTACACAATGTGCGTCGACAGACAAGCGACGATGACACACAACGCGACGCCAACGACGACGCCACCCAACCACGACGATACCTCCACCACGACACCAACGATGTAAGGTGGCTCACAGCTGCGACACGGACGGCATGGTGGAAGTCACTCGAGAGAGCCTTCGTCGCTGCATGATTCTAGCCATGCAGCACTGACGGCCGACCACGCGACCACAAGCACCGACCACCAACAACCAAGCACTACAACACCGACTACCGGCGCCTTGCGCCAACACCAACACCAAACCCAGCACAGACGACCAACACAGACTCTACCCAGCGACGTGGCACCAACACACCACGACATCGACTACAAGGAGCGGTATGATGGGCTGCAGAAGAAGAGGGCTCAGCAGAGATGGGCGGATGTGGCCTTCATGCTGGGCTGTGCGCTGTAGAAGTTTTCCGACCCATCCTGTCTCTCCGACTCCGGCTCCAACCCTGGATCCCATCTCTCCGACTCCGGCTCCGACTCCAGCTCCCGAATCTCAGACTATCCCATCCCATCTTTCTGGCTCCGGCTCCGACGCCAGATCCCATCTCTCCGACACCCGTTCCGACCCCGGCTCACATCCTTCCGACCCTGGCTCTGACTCTGGCCACCACTTTTCCGACTCCGGCTCCCATCCTATCTCATTTCTCCGACACGGGCTCCGTGTCCACTTCGGAGCCGACCTGTGGTGGCCTTGAGGTTTCTTGGAGGCATGCTGGAAGCTAGCTTAAGCTATTTTTTGTTGTTCTTCGGAAGCTTTTTTTGGTCAGCTGGGATCCTCTGGGGGGTTATCTTGGTTCACCTTCGGACTCTGCTAAGGGTTCCCCCCCGTCCAAATCCAGGGGAGGGGTCAAGTACCCAACGGGAATGCCACACGCTGTCTCGCTCACACTCGCCCGCCCTTGCGCAACCTAGGCAGGGGTCGCCATCGGCTGTACATCCACTGGGGACCCATACAGACGCCGGGTGTGCGATGCTCGCGAGGTGCGCCACGCGTGCTGGGTGCGCGGAGCGCACCAGGTGCGCCAGGTGCCGCCTCCTCCTCCTCCTCCTCCTCCTCCTCCTCCTCCTCCTCCTCTTCCTCCCTCCTCCTTCTCGCTCCTCCTCGCTCCGCCTCGCTCCTCCTCGCTCCTCCTCGCTCCTCCCCACTCCCACGTGCTCCACGTGCGCCAAGGGCGTCACCTGCTCCAGCTGCGCCGTGCGCGCGACGCGCACAGAGTACGCCAGGTGCGCCGGTGCACGTGGCAGATGGCAGATGGCAGCACGCATCGGGCAACATAAGGCGATCCCGCGACCATGCGTGACAGAGGTCATGGCAAAGTGGCGGCGGGGCAGTCTGCTTGGTGCCTGGCGCGAACGACCGCAGTGGATTTGCTTGTTTTTGCCAGGGGTAGTGGATAGCGCGCACGGGACAGATATGATCACGCCCTTGCCATCTCCGTCAAAATCAAATGCAAAGTGCTAGCGGGGGTCCGCGCTTACGACTTAGATTTTGCCGCCACGTACGCTTTGTGTATTGTTTTTGGACATGGATGGTGTGTGTGTGTGTGTGTGTTTGTGTGGGAAGCTCATGGTTCCTGCTTGGCGGCCGATCGAGCGGGGCAGGGGAAGTTTACTTATAAGGAGCAGTGGTGGGAGCCCCCTTCCAGGGGGGTTTGAAAAGAGCTCCCCAAATCACCTACGCCAAGAGGTCAAGATGCGTCTCCTCAGAGTTCACCTTCAGCATCGGCGCTGGTACATCCGTAGCCGGAAACCACTCGCATCTGGTTTGATCGAGTTTTTTTTTTTTTTTTTTTTTTTTTTTTTCCTGCGTCGTCCAAGGCAAGCGGTTCCAATCTTTGGCGCAATTTGGCTTCATGTGGCTTAGTGGCCCCTCAATCGGCCTCAGTAGTTTCTCAATCGTTCGTGCGACGACCTCCCGCGAGTTGCCTCCTGGCGGAGGGCCGGTGGGACTTGCGGTCCTCGGTCTGGAATTTCCGAACCCTGGCCCCCGACACGATTTCTCACGCTTTGGACTCCCAGAGGTATCGACCCATTCCCCGGGACCAGCTTTTCATCCTGAGTCGGTTTTTGGCTGTACCAGGGCTCGGCGAGAACCACCAGAGGTGAAATACAGTAAAATTCTGATCGTTGATCTTTTTTAATGACGCGAGGGGGTATGGGATCCGACGTCACAAGTTTAACACCGTTGCAATCACGACCAGAGCCCTAGGCCCTAGACCCGATCCTACCTTCCTGAAGTTTTTTGCGAGCCAGATCGATCAGCGAGGATCTCAGGGCCCGAAAGTGGGCGAATACGGCGGGAGTAAACAAAATCGCGACGCCACGATCTCAGGGTGGGTCCTCGATCCCTGAAGCCCCAGAGGTCCCTGAGGCCCCCGAGATGTTTTTTCCGTTCCGTTTTTGTGTTCCTGGGCCCTTCCTCAAAGGCAAATCGAAGAAACATGCGCAGATCGAACGCGCAGATTGCTGGAGGTCTGGGACTTCGAAGTCTGCCCACACCGAGGAGCCCTGAGAAATCACATCGTATTTCTGTGCACCCCCTCCCGTCGTAGTCTTTTCACGACGTGAGGGGTTCTGGGTGTGGGGGGCGCCAGTCGACCCCCAGACCCCGCCCAGGGTGCGTTCTGACCAGAACCTGGAGGCGACTCCAGCCGTGGCGACGAGAAGACCCCGCAGAGGCCCAACAAGGCCTCGACCCTCGAAGCCCTGCACACTGCGAGGAGGCGGCGCCCTCCCTCACGTGACAGCTGTGAACTTTCCGGAGGTCCGCGCGAAGTTCTGGGATCGGCGCTGGCTGCCCCCCCCTGGCGCGCCGGGGGCGGCGCCAGAGGCGCCGCCAGGGGGGCCCCAGCCCCGATCCAAGGTATCCGCGTGGAGCTCCGAAATCAAGGGCATACAAGACGCCCCTACCCTGGTTTGCGAGGCGCTGTGCGCTGAAACTCTTGTGGGCTGACAGGGTAAGCCCTGCGTGATGTGCGGCGTCCTGGCGGCTCTCTAGGGTCGTCTTGTAACCCAGGGTAGGGCCGTTTTTCCATCCCTCAACGAAAGAGAGTTTATGTTTGTGCCGATGTTTCTTCTTCGACTCGAGGGCGCCTCCTTCGAAGCCCTATCTGCCCACCGCGAGGAGCCCTCAAGCTCGGGGAGGCGGAAGCCCCGGCGGCGGAAGCTGTTCCAGCGGGCGTCTGCGGGAGGCGCGCGGAGGGGCGGCAGGACTCGACCTACATGTGAGAGGGATCCTTCGCTTAGGTCGGGCATGTCCCCCCTACAGGCGGATTCGGGACGAACGAATAAAACACATCCCAAACAATACCCCCCAACTATGCAAGCATGACCAGATTATCCCGGCAAAGCAACCTAACAGCGATGTGTAGGAGCATATCTGGAAGCCTTCCCCTTCAGATTCAGATGAGAATCCAGTTGTAGAATTCTGCTGTTCTCGCAGTCGTAGTCGCATTCGCGATGACAGTCGCAGTGGCAACGGCAGTCGCAGTCACAGCCTCAGCCTCAGCCTGCCTCAGCCTCAGCCTCAGCCTGCCTCAGCCTCAGCCTGCCTCAGCCTCAGCCTCAGCCTGCTTCAGCCTCAGCCTCAGCCTCAGCCTTCAGCCTCGGCCTCAGCCTCAGCCTGCCTCAGCCTCAGCCTGCCTCAGCCTCAGCCTCAGCCTCAGCCTCAGCCTCTCAGCCTCAGCCTCAGCCTCAGCCTCAGCTGCTTCAGCCTCAGCCTCAGTCTGCCAGCCTCAGCCTCAGCCTCAGCCTGCCTCAGCCTCAGCCCTCAGCCTCAGCCTCAGCCTCAGCCTGCCTCAGCCTCAGCCTCAGCCTCAGCCTGCCTCAGCCTCAGCCTCAGCCTCAGCCTCAGCCTCAGCCTCAGCCTGCCTCCTCAGCCTCAGCCTCAGCCTCAGCCTCAGCCTCAGCCTCAGCCTCAGCCTCAGCCTCATTCAGCCTCAGCCTCAGCCTCTCCTGCAGCTCAGCCTCAGCCTCTCAGCCTGCCTCCTCAGCCTGCCTCAGCCTCAGCCTCAGCCTGCCTCAGCCTCAGCCTCAGCCTGCTTCAGCCTCAGCCTCAGTCTGCCTTCAGCCTCGGCCTCAGCCTCAGCCTGCCTCAGCCTCAGCCTGCATCAGCCTCAGCCTCAGCCTCAGCCTGCCTCAGCATCAGCCTGCCTCAGCCTCAGCCTCAGCCTCAGCCTGCCTCAGCCTCAGCCTCAGCCTGCTTCAGCCTCAGCCTCAGTCTGCCTCAGCCTCTGCCTCAGCCTCAGCCTCAGCCTCAGCCTCAGCCTCAGCCTGCCTCAGCCTCAGCCTCAGCCTGCCTCAGCCTCAGCCTCAGCCTGCTTCAGCCTCAGCCTCAGTCTGCCTTCAGCCTCGGCCTCAGCCTCAGGCTGCCTCAGCCTCAGCCTGCATCAGCCTCAGCCTCAGCCTCAGCCTGCCTCAGCATCAGCCTGCCTCAGCCTCAGCCTCAGCCTGCCTCAGCCTCAGCCTCAGCCTGCTTCAGCCTCAGCCTCAGTCTGCCTTCAGCCTCGGCCTCAGCCTCAGCCTGCCTCAGCCTCAGCCTGCATCAGCCTCAGCCTCAGCCTCAGCCTGCCTCAGCATCAGCCTCAGCCTCAGCCTCAGCCTCAGCCTGCCTCAGCCTCAGCCTCAGCCTGCTTCAGCCTCAGCCTCAGTCTGCCTTCAGCCTCGGCCTCAGCCTCAGCCTGCCTCAGCCTCAGCATCAGCCTGCCTCAGCATTCAAAATGTGGCCCGGGAATGGAGTTCTGGGAAGTCGAAGAGCACGAAGTGGCCTATAGTTGGCTCCGGGCATCCAAAATGTCGCCCGGGAATGCAGATCTGGGAAGTCGAAGAGCACGAAGTGGCCTACAGTTGGCTCCGGGCATCCAAAATGTGGCCCGGGAATGGAGTTCTGGGAAGTCGAAGAGCACGAAGTGGCCTACAGTTGGCTCCGGGCATCCAAAATGTGGCCCGGGAATGGAGTTCTGGGAAGTCGAAGAGCACGAAGTGGCCTACAGTTGGCTTCGGGCATTCAAAATGTGGCCCGGGAATGGAGTTCTGGGAGGTCGAAGAGCACGAAGTGTGTGACTGTTTGCTTAAAACGAGCCCGGCCCTGAGCCCGGCCCTCGCTGTCCGGATGCCGCCCAGACCTCCCTTCTGAGTCATCAGATGCTCTCTTTTGACACCACTAGAAACCTATCAGTCTTCGCTTTTAGGTAAAAATCGTCCCCAGACTATTCTTTGCCTATTTTCGAACATTCCCCCTGTAGAGGGACAGGCCCGACTTGATCCTTCGCCAGAGTGACCTTTGATGCGGGCCCACTGGGGCCCCCCGATAGCTGAACGCGATGCGACAGCAGCGGCCTGCGCGCGCCCCCAAATAGGGGAACGAACAATGACATAAACATAACAACTCGGAGGTCCGCGCGGATTTCTCGGATCCGCGCCGGGCCCCCCTGGCGGCGCCTCCGGCGCCGCCCCTGGCGCGCTCCGCGCGCCAGGGAGGGGGCCCCAGCACCGATCCGAGAAATCCGCGCGGACCTCCGAGTTTTTATGTTTATGCCACTTTTTGTTCCCCTACAAAAGCTGGGCACTAGAGGTCGCTCTTGCCCAGGGTCACTCTTGCGTGCAGCCGACAGGACGTCCAGCCGGAAGGCCACAGCCTGAACAGCCGGGGGGGCCCCCCCGCCTGGTGGCGGGAGGCGACCTGGAGGGCGCAGCCCAAGACCGTCGCCGTCGTCGTCGTCGTCGTCGTCGTCGTCGTCGTCGTCGTCGTCGTCGTCGTGGTCGTCGTCGTCGTCATCGTCGTCGTCGACGTCGTCGTCGTTGACGTCGACGTCGTCGTCGACGTCGACGTCGACGTCGACCTCCGACGTGTGACTTTCTCAGTCCTGGGACTTTTCTTCTGTTTCGGCCTCCAGGGCCCGCTGTCGGGCCTCAGGCCCATCAGAAGGGGACCCGGGACGGACAGCCGGTCCCGGGGTGTGGGTCGAGGCATGGCAAGCGAAGCCAGTCCCAGGAGCTGGATCCGAGACGAAAATCCGCCCGCCTGGTGGCGGGGGGCGGCCTGGAGTCCAAGAAGAAACGGAATAAGCATAATGGAAGGGGAAGGGGGAGGGAAAGGGGTACCCTGAGATCTGGGCGTTCAAATTTGTCACATTATGGGAGTTTTGGCCGGTTTCGGGCCCCAGGCGCCCTCACAGACCGATCCCGCTTGGAAAATGGTGCAGAAACGTGGGGTTTGGTGCTTCAGATGCGGTTTTTTCACGATGTTCTGTTTTTGGTGCCACGTCGGATCTCAGGGTAGGGGGAGAGGTTGAGGTGGACCCAGGGGTAGGAGGGGTAGGGGAAGGGGTGAGCCCCTCCCCGAACGGGGGAGCGGGGACGAGGGAAGTTGGAAGAGCAATTGCTGTAGACCGCCTGCGCCCAGAGGGCTTGTGGGATACTTTGTCGGAGCGCTCCCTGGGAGACGCCTGGGGAGTAGCGGTGTCGGTGCTTGTGTGTCCCCCCATCTTGATCGCCAGCGCGGAGACCCAGGACTGCAAGACATGACATCAGCATGCGCCACGACGCCAGCGATGCACGCTTTCTCTATATGGTAACAGTCGGACCCCATCCTAGCCGATTGGCGTTTCACAGAGAGGCTACGGCCTGAACGTTCGCGCCCTAATGGGCACGGGGACTGATCCGAGAGCGAGCGCGAATCGAGTCGAAACCCATCTTGGTCGTTCTTGGAATGAGGCACGGCTGCATCAGCATGACCTCTCGGAGCTCCACGCGGATTTCTTGGATCGGGGCTGGGGCCCCCCGGCCGCGCCTCGGGCGCCGCCCCTGGCGCGCTCCGCGCGCCAGGGAGGGGGGTCGCTCTACGCTACTTTATGGAGGGCGCTGGCCCAAGGCCCAGATTGCCGACGATCTGATCTTTTTTCAATCCGGGCGTTTTTCGTCGACTTCAGGTCCTGGGGCCCGCTATCGGGCCCCGAGTCCGTTGCAACTGGATCCGGGGCGACCCCCCCTCCGCAAACCCTTTGGACCAGGACCGATCGTGGCAGATTGATCGACGGGCCGCGACCGATCGGTCGCGATCGGTCGCGGTCGGTCGCGACCGATCCTGGGAAAAATCGGTCGCGACCGATTCCCAGAATTCGGAGCAAAATCGGTCGCGACCGATCTGGTCGGTTGCGACCAGATTCCTTTGGTATCCGATGATCAGGGCCCCCCAAGGGAAGGGGTCGGGACCTCTGGGGGCCGCGCTTTGGACCATTCACATCGTCGGAGGTCTGGGGGCCTGGGGGATCGGTCTCGTTTTCGGTGTATATGTCTGTCTGTCTGTATGTACGTACGTACGTACGTATGTACGTATGTATGTATGCATGCATGTATGTATGCATGCAGGTGTGTATATATATATGTATGTATGTGTGTATGTATGTATGCATGTATGTATGCATGTATGCATGCATACATACATGCATGCATGTATGTATGTATGCATGCATGCATGCATGCATGTATGTATGTATGTATGTATGTATGTATGTATGTATGTATGTATGTCTGTGTATGTATGTATGTATGTAGGTAGGTAGGTAGGTAGGTAGGTATGTATGTACGCATGCATGCATGCATGCATGCATGCATGCATGTATGTATGTATGTATGTATGTATGTATGTATGTATGTATGTATGTATGTATGTATGTAGGGGTTGTTCCGAGTCTTCCGGGAAAGCTTAAAGAACCTTTCAGAAGGCCAGGGCACTTCCGGGCCCTTTGAGAAGGCCTTCTCTTCTTCTCATTTCCCCCCTTCGCTTGCCGCCGAGTCCGGGAGCCTTGCCATCGGTGCGCTGTGTACCTGCCCTGACCCTGGCCGAGCCGATCCGCACTGCGCAGGGGTTGCCCGCAGGGGGCGCGAGCAACGGTAACAGCGATGACCGCACATTATCACAACGACAACGGCAACGATCACAACGGCGGTGTTGTCGATGCTATCGTTGTTATCGTTATTCTATATGTTATCGTTGTCATCGTTGTCAACGTTGGCAGTGCCTCGCGCTTCGCGTGTCTTGGGCCAGAGAGGTCCACCAACACCGCCTGGGGGATCCATCTTCGGGGACCTCGGCAGGCGGTGGTGAAGGAGAGAAAACCCCCGCCTCGCACACCGGGGGTCTGATGACCGCGTCCACGAAGACCTCCCCAGAGCTGCCGCCCCTCCACGCGCACAGCAGGCTCGGCCCGTGTCGGCGCGGCGGCGGCCCCGCCGCGGGCGTTTTTGAGGTGGAGCGCCGGCGGCGGCCCGGAATCGCCCAGTGGAAGGCCCTGGCGATCGAGAAGCCGCTGATCTTCTGAATGTCGAAGCATCCGCGCGGCTTCAGAGACCAGCGCCCGGGTCGTCACGGCACGAACTCGACGCACGCCTCGCAGACTGGGGCCTGCTCACCGCGTCCCCGAAGGCCTCCCAGGAGTTGCCCCCCTTGACGCGCACTGCCGCCGCCCGGAGGTCTCGACCCCTTCCCCGGGGCCGGCTGTTCATCCCGAGTCGTTTTCTGACGCTCCCGGGGCCTGGCGAGGGCCCCCGGAGGGCGAGAGCCACCCAAAACCGTAATTACGTCCCCTGGGATCCGACGTCGCGAATTTTTTGTTCATAATGGAGATATCGTGAACGGAGCCCTAGATCCCCCCCTAGATAGCGTGGACGGAGCCCCAGATCCCCCCCCCAGATCCCCCTATCTTTCCGCCTCTTTTCTCGAGCCACGTCGATGTGCGAGGCTCCGGGGGCCGAAATCAGGCGAGCACGCCAGGCTCGAGCAAGAACTGGGACGCCAGGGTCTCCGTCGACCACGCGCCGAGGGGCGCGTGGGGGGAGGGGGGGAACTGCTTTGTGAAAGCATCTCCCTGCTCCTTGGACGGCGCGGGCCTCGTCTGTCGGTGTGAGGCCGGCGCCTCCTGAGGAGCAGCTTCCCTCAAGAAGCCTTCCCCCTCTCCCCCTACCCCCTTGTTCGACTACACGTAAGAGTGACCTTTCGCCAGAGTGACCTTTGGTGCGGGCCCAATGGGGTCCCCCGAGCGCCGAGAGCGATGGGGCAGTAGCGTCTTGCGCGTTTGTGTTCGGCCCCCGCGCGGCCCCCCGAAAGCCGCGCACCAAAAGTCACTCTTACCCAGGGTCACTCTTGCGTGTAGCCCCCCTCGTGTGCGTGCCGCCAGTTCCGTGGTAATCAGGGACTCGTCGGGACGCGAGGCCAGCGCCCCGAGACCTCTCCAGGGGTGCGTTCGGACAAGGATTTGGAGGCGGATCCGCAGCGGTGGCGACGAGGAGACCCCCAGGAGGCCCAAGCAGCCTCGACCCTCGAGGCTCGAAGTCCGAAGCCCTGCCCACTGCCGAGGAGCCGGCGCCCTCCATGGAGGAACACTGATAAACTTTCTCGGAGGCCTGCGCGAAACTCTCGGATCGGCGCGGCCAAGGTCGGCCTGCGGGCTGCGCGGGCGTGCACGTTGCCGCGCCCTCCCCGACAGGCGAAGCTGGGCATCCGCCGCGGGCGCTCGGAGGCTCCTCCCGAGGGGGCCGCCTCCCTTCGGCGCGGCGCTCCCGGGGACCTGCCAGAGGTCGCGAGGAGCTGCATTGTGGGAGTTTTTCGCGCAGTTGGGCGCGCTCTTGGGCGCCGCGGGGGCGACTAACAGTTTCTGTGAATTTGTTTCTACGGGCGTCCGTCTTTCAAAGGAGCGTTTCTTGCAGTGAAGAGGACGGTTTGTAGATACTTATGTATGAGGAGGGAACTTGGGACAAGAGGATGTATACCAGCATCGTTGATGTGTCCTGGGCTTGCTCTGGTCCTCCTTCTCCTCTCCTCGTCCTGCCTCCTCACCCTTTTCGATCCTCCACCCCGAACCTCATCCTCCTTCTACCTCCTCCTCCTCCTCTTCCTCTTCCTCTCCTTTTTCTCCTCCTCTCCTTCTCCATCCTTGTCATCTCCATCCTCCCGCCTGCTCCCCCTTCCCCCCCCCCTTCCCCCTCCACCTCCCCAATCACCCCCGTCCTCTTCCTCCATCCTCCTGCGCCCCCTCCCGCCCTCCCCGCCCTCCCCCGTCTCATCGCCACTGCCCCCCCCTTCGTCGCGGACGCGGCGCCCGGGAGAGAGCGCGAGCGCCCGCGGCGCCCCCGTCTTCGTGCACTGGGGCCTCTATCGCCGTGGGCCCAGTGCCGCCCTCCGCCTGCCCCCGTGTCCCTCCCCCCCAGGCCGCGACCCGGCCGCGAGGCCTCCGCAGATCGAGGATCGCGGCCGAGGAACGAGAAGCTTCTTTTCGCGGGGCGACGAGGTATCTGCACGGTCGGACCGAAGTACAAGATCGAGGTCGGTTCACGGAGGGTGCTCCAAGGGGAAGTTCTCGTGGTTCCTGGGGGTAGGGGGTTCTTGAGTTTGGCCGGCGGAGGGTCTGATGTTCTTGAAGGATGTTCTTCTGTCCTAGGTCTGGCTGTAGACATCCACCACCGCTGGGAATGCTGACTGGCGCAGGGGCAGCACAGCGCAGGCATAATCGGTCGGAGGCCCGCGCAGATGTTTGTTGGGCCCGGCACGGACCCCTCTCTGGCGCGCCTCGCGAGCCAGGGACGGGGGCCAGCGCCGATCCAAGAAGTCCGCACGGATCTCCGAAAAGGATATGTTTACGCAGGCCCGATATCGCCCGAGAAATCACGACGGGAGGTTTTTGGACAGTTTCGCCCGCTGATGGGCCCTCGCCGGGCAGCAGGACCGTCAGCAGAGAGTGGTTCGGAATGAGAAGCCGGTCCCAGGAAATGGGCCGAGATTTCCGGGGGTCCACGTGGGGAAAAAGTCCTGCGGTCGGGGGCCAGAGGAGGTCAGCCAGGCTTTCTTCGCAGTGCTTGGTCTTTGGGGGCCTCTCTGGGGCTCGCTCGTCGACGCGGCCAGGTTCTCTGCCGAGCTTGTGACCGAGGTGCGCCAAGGGACGGGTCCTGGGGCATAACACGTTTTCTGATTCGCGGACTGGGGAGGCCAGCGTCTCGGCAGGGTACGGGGAGATTTTCGCAGCTTGTGGTCCCTCTCTGGAGGCCCGTTTCGGGTCCGTGGGCTGTCGCAAGCTGCGTGGGGCGAAGAATGGGGCCCATGTCACGCAACCATCGTGACGTTAGGTATCTTGGGAGCGACGGGGGGACAGAGGAGGGAGGGAGGCAGGGAGGGGAGGGCGGGAACAAGACGGGAGGAGGGTTGAGGAGGGGCAGGAGGGAGGATGAAAGAGGATTCGACTGGATTCGATTGCGCTGCGTTAGGGGCCTTACGTGTAAGGGGCCCTGACGGGTGGGTGCACACTACCCCTACGCGGCCTATCCGAGCTATAGGGGCGTGCTTCACTAGAGAGCTTAGCCTGTGGTCGGGTGACGTTCGTCCCACAACCTGGTTAGCCTCCCTCCGAGAGTCCTGGACCCCGCTGGTTTACATTGCCGCTCAAGTACCAGCCAACGCGCGGTGGCGTTGGCACAGCGCTTACAGAAAACATGTGAAGCACGGACTACGATTTGGTGGTCCATACTCCGTGCCTAGCGAGGGGGAGGAGGATGAGGAGGAGGAGGAGGACGAGGAGGAGGAGGAGGAGGAGGAGGAGGAGGAGGAGGAGGAGGAGGAGGAGGAGGGCCCGTAGCCATTTTGGCTCAAGTAAACCATTTCTCGAGGTGGTTTCAGTGACCAAATACATCGGGGGCCCCAGCAGACGGCTGCCCAGCCAGGGGCTCCCAGCTTTCCCTTCCCTTCGACTGGCTAAGCAGCCAGGTTGGAGGCCAGCCATATCATTCACGATACTGTACATTCCAATTCTTCCGCCCTCCAGCTGTCTGCCGCAATGGGGAGCAGGGGCAAGGCGCCTCGTGACTTCTCCTGGACATGCTCGGAGTGCCAGGCTACAACCAGTCGCAACCTTCACTGGTGCTGGAGGTGCGGCTCGCACTGGACGCACACGGCTACGGGATGGCAGCCTCAAAGCGGGGGGGACAGTCCCCGTGGGGCAGACGCCAAGGTCGGTGACGGCAAGGATGGCGGAAAGAAAGGCAAAGGCAAGAAAGGGCGTGGCAAGCGACAGAAGGGAGGCAAAGGTAGTGAGGAACGTGCCGACTCTCCTGGCGGTGGTCCTCTTCCTCCTGCTGCAGCTCGTGCCCCAGTCGACGGAGACCTCTTTGATGTCAACATGGACAGGGAGCAGCGTAAGCCAGCCAATGTCGGTCAAGACATACAAGTTTTACAACGGGCATATGATGTGCTCATCAAGCAAGAAGGTGGACCAGACAGCGATGCAGCCAAGTCTTTGCAGCTCAAGCTTCACAATCTTCGGCAGGTTCGAGACAGCGCCAAGTCGGAGAGCCAGCGCCTGCTGGTGGCCATTGGGAAACTCTCCAAAGTTGAGAAACAAGTGGAGTCACATTCGCAGTCGGTCGGACTTCTTGAGACAAAGGTTCAGAATGCACATTCACATCTTCGAGTACAAGAACGTGCCTTGGCTGAGGCAAAGGAGAGCCTTGCTGAGGCGCAAAAGAAACGCGATGAGCTGGTCGTGGAGACGCGCCGTGCCCAGGAGGCGCAGGACGTGGCGCAAGCGGCCGAGCGAGCCAGGCCACGCAGCCCTTCACCTACTCCGGAGCAGTTCTTCAACCTCATGCGTGCTGATGCCATGGAGGCCGCAGCTCTACAGAAGGCGAAGGACACGGGCCTTGATCCCAGTACGGTACAGCAGGCCCTTCAGGTACTCGGTCCTCTCTTCGGTGCAGGTGGGGCGCCATCTTCTCCAGGGGCGCCAGAGGCTGCAGCAGTCCATGGAGGTGTTCTTGGAGATGCCCCTGGGACTCCTGGTGGCGCCCAGCAAGAGGCAGGAGGGCAGCTGGCGTTGCCAGAAGGGCCCCCGCGTAGCGGGCCCGTGGTCGCCGTTCGTGGCCCAGCAGCAGCTGCTCCAGGTGGAGGAGAGGATCTACCACGTGGGGCTGGAGCTGCAGGCGAATCTGAGCAGCAGAATCGAGCCTCTCGCAGCCCTCGCAGCCGCAGGGCAGCCAGAGGCCCAGCAGCTAGCGGGGGCGGTGCGAAAGATCCAAGGGAGCCTTTTTAGCACACACTTGGAGGATGATCAGGCAGTCTCGCCCCGTCGTCCTCCTGACCCCCCGCATCCAGTTTCGGGTGGCCCGTCTTTCCATTTTTGCACGGTTAACGCGTCGAGTTGGGGACGGGCCCTCGAATACGCGAAGGCCTCCAGGGCCCATGTGATTTTCGTCCAGGAGCACAAGTTGTTCCGACCAAAAATTTTAGAGGCCAAGTCCAAGGCCCGCAAACTAGGTTGGAACAGCTTCTGGGCCCCAGCCCTCGCTACCGAGGCAGGCTTCGCCTCGGGGGGAGTAGCTATACTTTTTAGAAGCTATCTTGATGTGTGGCAAGAGAATGGCAAAGGTATTGTCGTCCCTGGTCGGGTCCTCCATGCCTCCTGTCGTACTCGCAGTTTTGGGTTGATTTCTCTCTACAGCAATTACTGGCACACCGCGGTCGGCCTTGGGAAGAAGAACCTGGACGTCTGTCGGGAGCTGGGACATCATATTCTTACACGAGGGCTGCCTTTCGTGGCAGGCGGTGACTTCAATTTAACACCTGGTGAAGTCAATGTCGGACTGGAACCAGATCGCTTCGGAGGCGAAGCTGTTTTCGATCCATCGGTGCACACCTGCAGTGTTCAGGACACGCATAGGACTTTGGACTATTTCATTTTGAGCAAGCCGCTGGTGAAGGCCTTTTTATCAGTGGCGGCAGATCTCTCGAACGACGTGTATCCCCACAAGGCAGTGGATCTTCACCTCACTTCGGAAACGTTTTCCTTGAAAGTGAACAAACTTGCCAAGTTCGAGTGTCTGCCAGTTGCTCTTCCTTGTGGGCCATCGTTACCTCCACCTGATTATGCGGACCTCGAGCTGCAGATGAATCAGGCCCTGGATATTTTTCAAAGTAACGATGATATGTTTAGAACCCCTACCCCCGCGGAAAAACAGCCTCTGGAAAGCCGGCTTTCAGAGATCTACGATGAGTGGTGCACTCGGTCCTGGGGGGAGCTCAAGGATGTGTACCACCAACCCGTCACCTCGGGGCGTCAAGGGGGTTTGCCTTATGAAGTTCAGGAAGTTGATTTACGTACCCTCCTCATTACCAAAGAAAATCCTCGGCAGTCCGAATCTAGGTGCATAGGTTGGCTTGCCAGGCGTCTGCAGGAGTTGAAGTCCCTTCTGTCCAATCCTGAGCGCAGGTACCTTCATGGTACGTATGTTCTGCTGCGTCACACTCGCAATGTCAAGAAGCGTGGAGGACCCTTCGCTAGGTTCTGGCCTGCTGGCAGAGCCTTCGCCCACGAGCTTGTGCAGCAGGCATTAGGACCTCTCCTCGATGCGTATTGGGCTTGGGACGAGGGGACCTGGGACATGGAAGGTTTGGATTCTTGCATCACCCATCTCTTTGAGTTGGAGAGCGAATGTTTCAAGAAAGAGAGGGTGCGCCAAAACGCCGGGTGGTCAAAATGGTGCGAGGAAGCTTTGAGTGGTGGCGCATCCCGCGCCCACCAGTTTCACTAGGCTTGCCCAGGAGTATAAGGACGATGTCATCACTGAGGCTGACGGCACAGTCTCGGCGTCCTTCTTCAGTAGGTTTTCTCACCAGATCACCACCTGGAAAGAGGCGTGGGGGGTCGGCCGTGAGGCCCCCCTCCTCCTGGAAGGTGAAGATTCGATTTTAGTCCCTGCGGGCCCAGGAGTGGAAGAGCTCAGAAGCTTGTCGAGGAGCTTCAAAACGGCGACCATCTCCATTGATGGATTCCACCCCCGTCATTTCTGTGTCCTTGGGGATGGGGCCCTTCGTGTGCTCTCGGGGGTGTTCACGGCCATGAATGTCCTTGGGAATGCCCCTTTGTCGCTTCGTCAGTTGATTGTGGCGTTGTATCGGAAACCCCTCGAAGGGCGTAGACCAATTGGCTTTTACCAGTCGACGACACGGCTGTATTCTAAGAGCATGGCCAATGCCTGCAGGAGGTGGGAATCTCGGTGCGCTGCCAGCCCCTTTTTCAATATGGCCCCACATAGGTCTACGACCGATGCGGTCTGGCGCCAGGCGGTGAGGAATGATCTTCACCACAATCAAGGCAAATTTATTGGGGTCCTCCTTGCGGACCTCAAACAGTGCTATGAACACGTGCCTCACTCTCTTTGGTGGGGGGAGGCCCAGAAGTGTAATTTCCCTGCTCGCGTGGTTCGGTTTACTTTGGCCAGCTACCGTTGGCCTCGTCGCCTGATGATGGACTCGGCTCTTAGTGACCCCTTGGATCCTACTCGTGGGATTGTTGCTGGATCCTCCACGGCCACGTACGAAATCAAAGGTTTTATGTTGCCATCGACGCGAGAACTAGCCTTAGGTGAGGATGAGGACCTCACGATTCACATTGACGACATCACGACCTCGGTGGCCATGCCGTCGGTCATGTCATGTTTGAATGCCTTGGCTCAGCTCGCTGGACAGATATTCGATATTATGACCAACAAGTTAGAGCTTCCTATTGCCCTCAAGAAAATGCAGTTCACCAGCAACTCCAGCGAGGTGGCCAGGCAGGCTCCTGTGGTGCTAGGAAAGTATGGACAGACAATTGCTGGCCATGTTATCAACCTTGGGGTCGATTTTACCCTCGGGCGGTGCCCTTCGGCTCCTGGGGCCAGGGCCAAATCCAAGGCCCGCTGGAAGGCTGGCCTCCAGAGGCTGCCCTTGATCAAAAAGATGCGGGGGACTACGGCTAGTAAAGGAAAGATTTTTGTCTGCGGCGTTAAGCCGAGCCTTACGTATGGAGAAGAGATCCAGGGGCACCCGCCTAGTGAGATCCGTGCCCTTCGCCTCCTGACTGCAAAGAGCACGGGTTTATGGGGGGCGGGGGCCAACGTCGATCTCTGTTGGTGCCTCGCGCCAGACAAAGACCCTATTTTTCATGCTGCTGCCACCCTCCGCAGGTACAGTGCCGAGTGGTGGACTTGTACGGATGCCCAGTTGTGTGCCAAAGACAATCTGTCGGCTAGAGAGCTCAAGGAAGCTCACACCCTGGCCAAAGAAAAGTTCGATAAAGTCACCCCTGGTCCGTGGCATCGTGTGGCGGCTAGTCCGATTCATGATATGTTTTTCTGGTGCAAGATTGCGGGGTGGGAGTTCGTTGACCCTGCTCACGTCAAAACGAGGGGTGGAAGGATTTGCAACCTCACCTTAGCCCCCCCCCCGCGCAGCTCCAGAAAATGTTTGGCCAGGACCTCCAGCAGCATCAGCTGCGTCGGGTTGTCGTCGCCAAGTTAGAAGGTGTGGGTTCGAGTAGAGCGGACCAGATCCGTGCCAGGGGTCTTTGGACCCATCCTGTTAGCAGAGCGTGGAGCTCGAAGAAGCATTCTAGTTTTGCCAAGCAGATGCTGCGCCAGGTTTTTACGGGGTGCTACTGTACTGGCACTGTCTTGCATCAAAGAGGGTATCAGGTGTCTCCTAAGTGCCAGCACTGCGGTGCACCTGACACCACCTTCCACCGTGTTTGGGAGTGCCCGTTTGGGGATGATCGTCGTCACGAGCTGGATCCCGAGCTTGTTGCCAGTGCCCTTGAGGCTGGCCCTGCTGACCCCCTCTTCAGTTGTCTCTGGATCCCCGTGCCCCCCATCATCAAGCCCCCCCCCCAGAAGATGACAATATTGAATACCTCGATCGAGGTGGGGATATTGATAAATTTGTCTATACTACCCCTGGGATGGAAATCTCTATCGACGGTTCGGTCGTCCACCCCACCGCCCCCCTTCTTGCGAGGGGGGGATGGTGTGCTGCAGAAGTCACCGAAAATGGAGATCTCCTTAGGGCCATTCGAGGAGTTTTACCAGCCTATGTGCCGTGCAATGCCAATCTAGCTGAGCACCGTGGCCTTCTGCATGCTTGTGCCCATCTGCACGTTGATGCGGACGATGAGCCAGCAAATTTTTACCAGGACTGTGGTGCCGTTGTTTTTGGAGCCTTATCTGCGGTACGATCTCGTGATGGTAGAAAAGCCCAGTCAGGGCACTGGAGACAGGTCAACCATCTCACAGGTATGAAGGGCTGGCGTATTCACAAAATCAAAGCACATCAAGACCAAGCTCGAGGAGACAGGACGATGGAGGAGCATAGGAGGGTTCTCGGTAACAGCTGGGCCGATACTCTTGCCAAAGAAATTGCCACCCGTCAGGTCTCACCCGAGGATGTCAAAGTTGTCGAAGCTGGGTATAAACTCTGGCTTGACGTTTTTTTCCGCGTTCGCTGTTCTTTTGGAACCCTGGGGCCGTGCCCGTGATGTCTTCGGCGAGCTGGAAAGGGTTCCCAGGGCCCCTCAGCGGAAGTTGCTGGCTCGAGGGATCCACGGGCCTCACAATTTCGTCTGGGGTCTGAATTCCTGGCAGTGTGTGGACTGTGGTAGGTCCACGGACCAGCCGTGGAAATGTCGCAGAGGCCCGTGCACGCCTTTGCCTCGATCATTAGCTGCCGTGCTGCGCCCTCCTGTCCCTGTTGTGCCTGCCCACGACCTGTGGGCAGGAAGGATTTGCGTCACTGGTGCGGCAATTGTCTACTGTAACCGTTGTGGGTCATACACCACTGGCAGGGCGGCGCACCTCGTGGCACCGTGTACGACCCTCAAGGTTGCTCAGCTTCGCATGCTCAGGAATGGAATTCTGCCCTATCCCAAGGGGTGCCGCTTTTCGAAACCTTGGAGAGTGGTCGAACAGTCGCCAAGGGAGCTTCTGTATGGGCCGAATGCACCTGGGAATCTTTGTATCATTTAGTCAGCCACTCAGGTTGAGCACCCTGTCCAAGGGTTCGCGGGTGCTCCCGAGGGTGGCCTTCATATTATTTTCCTATCCCACTTGAGTGGGCAAGAGCTCCGATCTGTGATTGGTGCTGCTTGATCTGCCCTGTATGTATGTATGGAGGAGGAGGAGGAGGAGGAGGAGGAGGAGGAGGAGGAGGAGGAGTAGGCAGAGGAGGAGGAGCAGGAGGAGGAGGAGGAGGATGAGGAGGAGGCCGAGGAGGAGGAGGAAGGGGGAGGATGAAGAAATTGGCGGATGGACGGGGCATGGGTTAAATGGGAAAAGGGGGATGAGGATGAGTAATACGTTCTTGTTGGACCCGCTGCCGAGAAAGAGTTGTGGTTGTTTCCCCCCTGCCTGGTGCCGATTACGCTTTTCCTGTGAAGTGTGGCCCACGACGTTCGCGCTTTTCTATTGCTTAGCATGTCTGGCTTCCGAAACCTTGTAGCGGGGGGCTTCTGGCTGTCAAAGCATACCTTTGGACCCTGATGAACGGGTGGGGCGGCGTGGTCACACGGGCCTGGCGGGGGGGCCCTGACGGGCGGGACGGGTGGGCGGGGGGCCTGACGGGCGGGCCGGGCGGCTCATGCGTGTAGGCCTGGCGGGGGGGCCCTGACGGGCGGGACGGGTGGGCGGGGGGCCCCTGACGGGCGGGCCGGGCGGCTCATGCGTGTACCCACAGCCTGGCCCGCCCGTCAGGGCCCCCCGCCCACCCGTCCCGCCCGTCAGGGCCCCCCCGCCAGGCCCGTGTGACCACGCCGCCCCGCCCGTTCATCATGGTCCAAAGGTATTTTTTGACAGCCAGAAGCCCCCCGCTACAAGGTTTCAGAAACCAGACATGCTAAGAAAATAGAAAAGCGCGAACGTCGTGGGCCACACTTCACTGGAAAAGCGTAATCGGCACCAGACAGGGGGAAAACAACCACAACTCTTTCTCAGCAGCGGGTCCAACGAGAACGTACTACTCGTCCTCATCCCCCTGTTCCTATCTTACCCATGCCCCCTCCATCCGCCAATTTCTTCATCCTCCCCTTTCCTCCTTCTCCTCCTCCTCCTCCTCCTCCTCCTCCTCCTCCTCCTGCCCCTTGCTCCTCTTTCTCGTACTCCTCCTCCTTCCTCGTCCTCCTCCTCCCCGTGAGGGTCCGCCCGCCCGTCCCGCCCGTCAGGGTCTGCCCGCCCTGCCCCCGTCCGTCGGGGCCCGCACGCCCGACCCGCCCGTTGGGGCCCGCCCGCCCGACTCCGACCCGCCAGGGCCCGCCCGCTCGGCTCCGACACGCCCGCTCTCCTGCCCCGCCCGCCCGGCCCGCCCGTCAGGGTCCGCCAGTTCGTTGGCTGGGAGGCCCGCCCGCCTGCCCGTCTCGAGGAGTGGATGATGATGGGGAGGAGGAGGAGGAGGAGGAGGAGGAGGAGGAGGAGGAGGAGGAGGAGGAGGAGGAGGAGGAGGAGGAGGAAGAGGAGGAGGAGCAGGAGGAGGAGGAGGAGGAGGATGACGGAGGGGTGATGGGTGAGCGGCGCGGGGCGGCGGGGCTGCAACCGGGGGGGGTCCGAAAATGCCCTCCTTCCCCGCCCCTCCCACAGGGATGCGTTCGTAAACGAAGAGGGCGGGAGTCAAGGTGTCGGAGCAGGCATGTTGAATGACATGCGGGCAACAATGAGCGAGCACCATGACTGTACAATTTTTGTTTGGGGGGGATGACGGCGACGATGACGATGAAGACGACGATGCTGGTGATGATACTAATGATGATGCTGATGATGCTGCTGCTGATGATAATGTTGCTGCGAACGATGATGATGCTGCTGCTGCTGCTGATGATGATGATGATGATGATGATGCTGATGATGATGATGATGATGGTGAGACGTTGATGACGATGATGACGAGGAGGAGGATGCCGATTCTGCTGCTGCTGCTGATGATGCTGATGATACTGCTGCTGATGATGATGATGATACTGATGATGATGCTGCTGCTGATTCTGATGGCGATGATGCTGCTGCTGATGATGCTGATGCTGATGCTGATGCTGCTGCTGCTGATGATGATGATGATGATGATGATGATGATGCTGATGCTGATGATGATGATGCTGATGATGATGATGCTGCTGATGATGCTGATGACGACGATGGTGACGATTCCAATGCTTCTGCTGGGGATGGTGCTGCTGATGATGCCGCTGACGCGATGGATGAGCAGCTGGAGGAATGAGCTGGGCAGAGGTCGACCAGTAGAAGGAGGGGTGAGGACGTGCAATATAACTTTGAGGAGGAGCAGCAGGCAGGAGGGATGATAACGAGGAGGAGGATGAGGACCATAGTAGGCCCATGCTGCGTTAGCGATGCTGCGATCACGCTCCCGTCCCAAGCGACCCCCAAACACGTTCTAGCAAACATGCATGTTCACGACTGGAAGCGCCGCGATCTTGCAGGCTTGCGATCCAAGCGAGCCGCCCCCAGCCCGTCTTGGAACTGAGGGGGTGTCAGACGACGTTCTATTTTGAGCTGGAACCGTCCTCCATGGTGCTGAGTGTATGCTTTTGGCGCTACTGCTCGAGGATCTCTTCTGTCAGGGTCCTCGTTGGTCTGGTGGCACGGCCAGAAAAAATCTCAAGCGAGAGCCTCATCTGCGAAATGCACAGCCAGCCAACCGAGATACTCGTCGTAGCTTTAAGACGAGTGTGGAGGTGTACATGGAAGAAGGATTGAGGAGAAGGAATGAGGATACATATTGAGGGGAAGGAGGCGGAGGAGGAGGAGGAGGAGGATGAGCACCAGACAGGAGAAACAGGGATGGCGCGGATGAAGAGGAGTAGGATACAGAGAAGTCGGAGGCAGGAGGAGCACGAGGAGGAAGATGATGACGAGGAGGCGGAGGAGAAGGGGGGGATGAGCAGGAGTGACAGGAGGATGTGGAATAATGACCGAATTGAGGAGAAGGAGGAGGAGGAGGGGGAGCGACCTGATGATGCTGATGATACTGATGATGCTGCCGATGATGATGATGATGATGATGATGATGATGATGATGATGATGATGATGATGATGATGATGACGACAATGAGGAGGATGAGGAGGAGGCGGAGGAGGAAGAGGAGGAGGATGGGGGAACCAGGGAAGCGCCGCCCCACCCCTTTGACCGGGGGCTCGGCGGATTCCGTGCCCGCCTACGCCTCGAAGAAGTACAGCTTCTCGCAGTTCCACTCGATCGACAAGGCGGAGTACGCGAGGAGCTCCCACTGCCACCCTCCACCCGTTCGGAGAAGAGGGGGAACGTCAAAGTTCAGAGGCCTCCTGGGAGGTCCTCGTCGCCACGGTTGGATTCGAACGGAAATTTTGGCCATAAACCCGCCAAGACTTATTAAACCAGCCCCCAACCTATCTAAACCACATCTAGACCGCCCTAAACCTATTCAAACCCGCCCTCAATCAATCGAAATAAACCGCACCCTGGACCGCCCTAAACCTATCACATCGCACTCCAGACCGCCCTAAACCAGTGCACCCCCGGACCACCCTGAACCTATCGAAATCACACCCTACACCGCCCCAAACCGATAGAAAAACCGTACCCAGACCACCCTAAACCTTCCTGAACCCGCCCCAAGCCTATCTATACCGCACTCTGGACCGCCCGAAACATGTCTATCCGAACCTTGGACCGCCCTAAATCTATCTAAAGTGCACCTCAGGCCACCCTGAACCTACCTAAATCACACCCTGGACCGCCCTAAACATATTCAAGCTGCGCGCAGACTATCCTCAATCTACCTATACCCGCCCAGAACTTATCTAAACCGCACCCTGGACCGCCCTAAACCTATGAAAGAGCGTGCTCTGTGGACGCTGGGAAGGGGGAGGGGGTCGAACAGGGTTGGGGCGGGGCCGAAATGCAAGGGAGGGGGTTCGAGCCTCCCCCCCCGCCTCCTCAAGGGGGGGGGGTTCGAACAGGGCCCCCTCTCCACCCCTGAATTGCAAGGGGTGGGGGGGGGTTCGAACCAGAAGGGCCCCCCCCCTCCATCCTCAGTGGCAACCGACGACGGCGAGCACTGGTACCGGCGCCGACGCTGTCGGGCAACGACGAGGACGGTCGAGTCTTTGTAGGATACTATTAAGGATGGATCGAGCCCCAGTGAGATTTCACCGAAGCTGGATCGAGCCCTAGTAGTAGGGTTGAATTAGAGCCAGATCCAGTTACAGTAGGACCCCGTTAGAGTTGGATCGAGCCTAATTAAGATTCAAGTAGAGCTGGATCCATCTGTCGTAGGATTCTATCAGAGTTGGATCGGACCCGACTAGGATGCCATTGAAGTTGGGCCCAGCCCAGCGAGAATATTGCCCACATATATTGCACAATCTAAGTCGGTAGAAACACATTGTTTGGGATCCAAGCTCACTCACATGAGCAGATCTTGTTTTATACAGGGACGGTACAGCATATGTTGTCTCAGAGATGTAGTGCAATCTGCTTGGTGCCCGCTCCACCCTTCCTGCTGTTCCTTCTGTGCTCTATATGGTGCAACATGTGTGGTGCAATGAGATCCCCCTCTCCGCTTGCGCTTGTGCGTCAAGGAACAACCCGTATGCGGAGTGGTACCTGCTCACGTCACTTGTCAAAGATAGCGCAACTGCACACGTGCACAAGCAGCGCTACGGCGAGGAGGCCAGCATGGAGTCCTATCTGGGTAAGTTTGTCCCCAGATTTAACGATGAAGTCGCGCGGTGGCAGCCGCAGAAGTGGGCCGACCTGTTCCGCAAAGCCGGGGCCGAGTACGTGGTCCTCACGACGAAGCACCACGATTCATTCCTCCTGTGGCCGTCCGCTGTGGTCAACCCTAACCGGCAGCAGGAACACCAGCACGCCAAACGTGACATCGTTGGCGACCTTACGCGCGCGGTTCGCAGGGCGGGTATGGAGATGGGCTTGTATTACAGCGGCGGCTTCGATTGGTCTTTCAAAACCTGCAGTTGCGATCCGGAATCGGCCGAGTACGAGGAGCTGGCTTACAACCATCTTGAGGAGCTCATTGAGCGGTACAAGCCGTCAGTGCTGTGGGACGACATCAACTGGCCGGGGAAAGGGTGGACGAAGACGAATCGGTTGTACAAGTTGTTCGCCAAATACCTGAACGAAGTTTGTCCCGAGGGCACCATGAACGCGCGTTGGAGTGCAGTAGGCGAGTTCAAGGGTGATTTCTCCACCCCCGAGTACCGAAATAACGACAAAGTCAGCGCCAAACCGTTCGAGATGTGCCGCGGGATCGGCCAGAGCTTCGGGTACAACGCGGAGGAGACCCCAGAGGACCACATGACGCCGGCCGAGGCCGTGTGGCTTTTGGTCGACGTGGTGGCTAAGAACGGCAACCTCCTGCTGGACGTGGGCCCTGCCGCCAACGGCTCCATCCCCTGGCCGCAGCAGCGCGTGCTCGAGGGCCTCCAGGGACAACGATGGGGGGGGCTGGGTTAAGGGGGCGAAGACAGGCTCGAGGTTCTGAAATTTCGGAAGTCCTCGTCGGCTCTCGAGGATTGTCTAGCCTCGGGATGCCTTCCAGTAGCTGCGCCTCGCCCAGGGCGTGCCGGGGGTGCCTGGATCTTCCCGGAACGGCTGTCGGAGACTCGATCTCTATGGCCCGACAACCGAGACCAGTCCATGTTCGGGGGGGATAGGCTTAGGGGGGAGATGCATCGACCCCCCGTCGTCCACCGGCCGCCGACGGGGGCCCGGCACAGTCAAGACGCTGAACTCAGGACCGCTTTGGGTTCGGAAGGGGCTCGCTGTTTCCTGAGGTCACTCCGTGGTTGTTCCGCCAGCCCTCTTCGTGCACCCAGGCGCTTCTAGTGCCCGAGAGGAGAGGCTTCGCTTCTCATGTGTCCTTTTTCATTTCAGCAGCTCGACTGTGGCCCGTCCCGCACGGGAGCGTCCGGTTTCGCAATCGGGGGCCGCCGCCGGTCTATCTGCGCGGCATCACCGGGCTCCAGCTGGACGTTCCCCCCCTCAGCCAGCGCCCCCCCCTTGGCCTCCGACGCCATGATTCGAGTGGGAGATCGACTACAGAATTGACTGGCCCACAACATTGTTCCCAGTAGAATCTATTACAAATGTGTACAACGTTCGAAACCAATCGGAGTTCTAGTTTCTCCTTCGATTGGACTCTGTAGCCGACCTCCGACACCATTTTGTTTTCTCCTCAACCTTCGGCCCCTGGAGGTCTCGACCCACTTGCCGGGGCCGGCTGCGCATCCTGCGCCGTTCCTTTTCGGCCCGGGTGCCCCAGCGAACGCCCCCCCTTGGGGCCGAACATGGCCCAGAACCTTGGGGCCGAGATGCTTTCGCGATGCGAGGGGGTCCAGGAAAGGAGGGGCAGGACGAGGCCGAGAATGAGATCGTCGCCCCTCAGGCCTCGGGGACTGGATGAAAGTCAACGGCGAGGCGATCCGGGCGTCCCGCCCGTACCTCCAGGCCGGGGCGGTGGCCAAGGGCAACTGCCGCTTCACGGCCCGGGAGGACCGCGTCTACGCGGTGCTGCAGGCCCGGGGGCACAGACGGGGCACGGCCCCCAGGCTTCGGTCTTGTCCTCGAGCCTCGAGCTTCGAGGATCGGGGGCTCTTGTGGGCCTCTCGGGGGCTTCTTGTCGCCACGGCTGGGCTCGCCTCCAAACTATGGCCAGAGCGCCCCCCCCGGAGAGGTCTGGGGGTCGATTATTGACCACCAGATCCAGACCCCCTTCCGCCATGAAAGAATCACGACGCAGGCTTGTCGCCGATTTCGGCGTCCAGGCGCCCTCGCCGGCCCCCGGGGCCATCGGAAGACGACTCGGGATGAAGCTCCCTTTCCGGAGCATGGGTCGCGAGACCTCTGGGTGCCCAGGCCGCGGCAGCACTCATGACGCCGGAGGTCTGAGCCCGGGCACTTTTTTTTGCGTCGCGTGCCGCGCCGCGGGCTCTGGCCTGGCCCACCGCGCCTCGGGGCGACACGCCCAACCGCGTCCCCGGCCCCCGAGCACCCGCGCACCCCCCGAGCCTCTCGGGGCACCCCCCCCGCCCCGCGGAGAGAGAGCGGCCCGCTGCCCGCCCGCACGGCACGCGGCGAGTCGCAGGGGGGGGGGCTCCCGCCGCGGCACGCCAGGCAGGAGGCCCTGGCCTCACCCACGGGCCCGATTCGGGCTCGGGTCTCTCAGGAGGGAAAATATGGGAAGTGGCGGGGAGGACAAAAACATAGTAAATATGGAAAAATATGGGGGATCCTGTTATTCGTGTGTGTTTATATTAATCGCTTCGCTCATTCTGCCAGCCTTGGAGCGCTATTTGCGGCCTCTTGGGGCCGTCTTGGGGGCTTCTTGGGGGCTTCTTGGGAGCGTCTTGGGGCTCCTTGGCGGCGTATTGGGCTCCCCTGGGGCCTCTTGGGGGGCTCTTGGGGGCCCCTTGGGGCAGGAGGGGGGGTAGTCGATTGCGGCCCCCTCCTCGGAGGCCACGATCCTCGTGAGGGGTGGCGAAAAATAGCCCCCCCCCCCTGGGGATCGCCCGGGGGTCAGCCGGGGATCGGCCGGGGCACTTTTCGTCCGGGGCCCCCCAGGGGCCGCCCCGCGCGCGCGAACTAGAAATATTGTTAAGTAGTTACCGGAGATCTTAGCACGCCTCTGGCCCGTTGGGCCGGCGAATTTGTGTGTCCCAGGGCCCCTTCAGTCTCGGAGGTCATGCGGAGAAGGGATGGATGGGTCTGGAGTTTAGGTTCGCCACCTTCGGCTTCTTCCGGGGCCCCCCTCCGTCGAGCTTTGTTGTGGCCGTCGGCAGGAGAACGGTCCCGGGACGACAGGGCCGATCCTGTGAAAAGCCCCGGGGGTCCAGGACACGTTTCCCTCGGGATCCGTGCCCCCTGTACCAGTACGAAAAAAAGCCTTGCGGCCTGGCCACGAGCTCAGTCGATATATGATCCAGGGCTTCGCCCCCCCCCCGCCCCCCAATGCTAATGGGGTCGGCCCGTCCCCTCCCCCCCCCCCGCTTGATGGGTACGCCCGTGAGCCTCGCGAAGGCCTCGCGAATGGGTCGTGGTCCTGTAGGCGTGGCGTGGTGGAGGGGGTGCTGGTGCCCCCGTCCCTCCCCGTGTGGACGCCGGGTGGTGCTGCGGTGCCGTCGTCGTCGTCGTCGTCGGCGTCGTCGTCGTCGTCGGCGTCGGCGTCGGCGTCGGCGTCGGCGTCGGCGTCGGCGTCGGCGTCGGCGTCGGCGTCGGCGTCGGCGTCGGCGTCGGCGTCGGCGTCGGGCGGTCGCTCGGCGTCGGCGTCGGCGTCCGGTCGTCGGCGCGGCGTCGGCGTCGGCGTCGGCGTCGGCGTCGGCGTCGGCGTCGGCGTCGGCGTCGTCGTCGTCGTCGTCGTCGTCGTCGTCGTCGTCGTCGTCGTCGTCGTCCCCCACGCATCCCATCTGGCGGGGGGGCCTGTGGAAACCCGGGTGCCATCCCATGTGGGGGGTGGTGGCCTGTGAACCCTCGACCCGGGAGATCATACATCTCCAAGAGGTGGTGGGCCCATGGTTGGGCTTTCGTGAATGCCCCGTGGTGGTGGTGGATATCTCCTGCGCCCTCCCCGGCAGGCGGTGGAGTTCGGCGCCCCCGTGCATTTTAAGCACGAGGAGCTGATGGTGCCCGCCGCTGCCGCGGAGCCTCGCGGTGGAGAGCACACGTCCCCGTCCCTGGGGTCCCAGGCATTCTGGGTGTCCGGTTTCTCTTTGCTCTTCCTCTCCACCCCCGTTCCTCCTTCCTTCCCCGTGCGGGGGCACAGGGCACACATCGGGGACCAGCTCCGAGGCGGATGTTGACTGCTCTCCTCCCTCCTCCTTCCCCCACGTTCTCCCCTCCCTCCGTCCTCCTCCGTACCCCTTCCACCTGCCCCCCTCTGCTCCTCCTCCTCCTCCTCCTCCTCCTCCTCCTCCTCCTCCTCCTCCTCCTCCCTTCTCTTCCTCCTCTTCTCCTCCTCCTCCTCGTCCCTCTCCTGCTCACTCCTTCTCCTCCTCCTCCTCCTCCTCCTCCTCCTCCTCCTCCTCCTTCTCCTCCTCCTCCTCCCTTCTGCCTCCTTTCGTGCGCGCTCTCCCGAGCGCGGGGGTAGGATGATGTGGAGGAATGGAGGGGGGGGGAGAGGCGAGGAGGGAGGGAGGCGAGGAGGGGAGAGAGAGAGAGAGAGAGAGAGAGAGAGAGAAATGGGCGGATGAGGATAAGGAGGCGGAGGAGGAGGAAGATAGGAGAGAGGAGGAGGCGGTGGAGGAGGAGGAGGAGGAGGAGGAGGAGGAGGAGGAGGAGGAGGAGGAGGAGGGGAGGAGGAGGAGAGGAGGAGAGGAGGAGGAGGAGGAGGAGGAGGAGGGGAGGAGGGGAGGGAGGAGGAGGAGGAGGAGGAGGAGGAGGAGGGAGGAGGAGGAGGAGGAGGAGTAGGAGGAGGAGGAGGAGGAGAGGAGGAGGAGGAGGAGGAGGAGGAGGAGGAGGAGGAGGAGGAGGAGGAGGAGGAGGAGGAGGAAGGAGGAGAGAGGAGGAGAGGAGGAGGAGGAGGAGGAGGAGGAGGAGGAGGAGGAGGAGGAGGAGGAGGAGGGAGGAGGAGGAGGAGGAGAGGAGGAGGAGGACGAGGACGAGGAGGAGGAGGAGGAGGAGGAGGAGGAGGAGGAGGAGGAGGAGGAGGAGGAGAAGAATGGACAGGAGCAGGAGGAGGAGGAGGAGGAGGAGGAGGAGGACCAGGAGAAGGATGACGAGGAGTGGGATGATGAGAAGGAGAAGGAGAAGGAGAAGGACACCAACGGGAACGCTCCACCTGGAGGAGTACTGAGAGACTGAGAGTCCAACCTCCTTCCTCACTCCTGCCTCCTTCCTCGTCCTCTCCCTCTTCTCTCCTTCCTCATCCCCTCTCATCCCTTCTCCTCTTCCTGCTCCACCTCCACCTGCGCCTTCCGACTACACCTTAAAGTCGACCCTAGGAGGATCTCCCGGGGTGCGTTCTGACCTGGATTGCGAGGTGGATCCAGCCGCGGCTACAAGGGATCCCAAGGAGTACCATCACAAGTGTAACAATTTCAACAACCTGGAGCCCGAACCTCGATCTTCGACCCTTGGGTTTTCGAATGTGTGTCCTCCATCCTGCTCAAAACGGGTCACATGATCCTTCAGGGGTCCATCCAGGCTGTTTTTCCCAACCATCGTTTTGTGTAGGGTCTTCGTTTTGAAGAGAATGCCCCGCGTCTCCTCTCCTCTCCTATTTTCCTTCCTCCTCGCCCTCCTCCTCCCACCCTTGCCTCTGCCCTCTGCATGTCCACCATTTCAGCGCACCCAGTGCAGCGTTTCGTGGCCCCTTTAGGGAGCTCACCGAAGGCCCCAGTGGCTGTGTACGCATGCGTCCCGCGCCACCCAGTACGGCGTTTCGTGGCGCCATAGGGAGCTCCACCGAAGGCCCAGTGGCTGTGTACGCATGCGTCCCGCGCCACCCAGAACGGCGCTTCGTGGCGCCATACGTAGGGAGCTCCACCGAAGGCCCAGTGGCTGTGTACGCATGCGTCCCGCGCCATCCAGTTCGGCGTGATGTGGCCCCAAAGGGAGCTCCACCTAAGGCCCCAGCGGCTCTGATCGACCTCTTGGCCCGTCTCGGGTCGCTGGGCAGGGCGCTGAACGAGCTTGCCAAACATGTAAGTTCGGTAGACATGTCGTACCTGAGCCAAGGATCACAAACGACGGCGTAACGACGGTGCGATGTTGTCTCTGGCATGACGTATGCACTCTGGGTGGGTGGGCTCGAAATGTGCCGGCGGCTCCAGCCGCCTCAGACATGGTCTTGAGAGACCTGCATGGTTTCGGCATGCCTCTCAAGGGCTCCTCGACGATCCCTGACGGCACCCAGTTGTCGAGCCATGGCATAAAGACAGCCCACGGAGCCTCTACGACGCCACCCGAGGGCTTCCAGAGGACCCCCCTGCGAGGGCCCCAACAAGCCAACATTGGCACATTCCATATGGCATAATTTACATTTTGGCAAACTCGTTCAGCGCCCTGCCCAGCGACCCGAGACGGGCCAAGAGGTTTCCTGGAGGGCCCCGCGACGGCTCCAGGCGGCCCTGGGGCGGCCCAAGAGCCCCAAGACAGCCCAAGAGGACCCCGAGACGGGCTCAAGACCGCTCAAGGTGGCCCCATGACGGCCCAACACGGGCCCCACCCAGCCCAAGATGGCCCCAATCCCGACGTGCATCCTCCAGCACCAATTCATTTCGAACCATGTCTGGATCACATCAGGCATGCAACTTCTTACGGACCCTTTGGCAAGTTCACCACCTCCAAGAAGTATACCGTGACAGACGCATCTTGCCTTTGCGAAGCTTTCTTCGCACAGAAGGTCATTGGTTCATTTCGCGAGGAAAACATCGGCCAGACGGGGCCTCCCGGCGAGGTGTTCGGGGAGGGGCAACAGTCTCACACGCTGTAGACCCCAAGGTGTCGGCGGGTTTCTGACGGCCTGCAGGCGCGAAACTGGTCCTTGGATGCCAGAATCGAGGGAAACACATCGGGCGCGACTTGTTTTCAATCCTTCTCCTTCTCCTGGGGCGCGTAGGTGGGGCCTCGGGGTCGACTTTGAGGTGCGGTCAGGGGAAGTAGGAATGGAGGGAGGGCGTGAGGGAGGGAGGGAGGGAGGGAGGGAGGGACGGATGGAGGAGGAGGAGGAGGAGGAGGAGGAGGAGGAGGAGGAGGAGAGGAGGAGGAGGAGGAGGAGGACCAGGAGCAGGACCAGGAGGAGGAGGAGAGGGGCAGGATGGTGGTTCTGCTGCTGCTGCTGCTCCTCCTTCTTGCTCCTCCCTCCTGCTGTTCGCCGCCCCCCCCTTCTCCTCCTTCCTCCTCACTCGAGGCTTGAACCTCGAGCCTCGCTTCTCGATCCTCGATCCTCGATCTCCCCCACTTCCCAGACCTCCTGCGTCGTGATCTGTGTCGCAGTATGGACTCCCAGAGGTCTCGACGCGTTGCCTGGGACCGGCTTTTCGTCCTGGTCAGTTTTGTTGACGGTCCCGGTGCGTGGCTGCGCCGAACAGAGCTACAACATTTGCCGTCGGGTCTGGTCGGCGTCACCCCTGGCGCAGTAGTGCTATGTGTTCGCCTGCACCCCAGGTGCGACGCGCCCGTTGAAAAATCTCATAGTCTAGGCTCGGTGGCGTGCGCTTTCTGGCATAGGTATCGCTCGGGAACCGATACACGATAAGATGTCTGTACTATATTCGTGGTCCGACAGATGCACATAGTACTAGTATGTCCTCATGTGTCCCATCACTAGGGGTGTGTGGATACCATGTCTGGGGCCATGATATCTCCCAGACCTCATGGCCCCCTCTTCTTCTCTCGACACGGTCGCTGGCCCCCCATCGTCCGCGTACATTTCTCGGGCCATGATTTGCCCCCCCTCCCGTCTTGGACGCCCCCCTCTTTGGAGTAGGAGATCGACTACAGCAGTGGTGTACCCCAGAATCAAAGTGTTCGCCAGATCTGCGGAAACACGCGTAGGGTTTGCAGGTCTTCTGACACAATACGTTTGGTTTTGTAGATTCGACCAACGAATTCATTGTGGGGCGAGTCAATTCTGTAGTCGATCTCCTGCTCGACCTCTTGGACGCCGTCGAGAGGGGGTCTCGGCCCCAGGAGCTGCTCGTGGAGGGCCGAGCGCTGCCCCTCGCGCTGGAGGCGGGCGGCTGGCAGATCCCTCTGGATGCCGCGGGCCGGACCGCCGGCAGGGGCTCGCTGCCGGTGGTGCTCCGCCTGAGGCCGGGGCCCAGCCGCCACTCCCTCCCTCCTCCCTCCCTGGCCCCTCCTCCCTCCTCTTCCCTGGTCCCTCCTGGTCCTCCCTCCTCTTCCTCCTCCTCCTCCTCCTCTTCCTCTTCCTCGTCGCTCCTACTTTCTCGTCCTCCTTCCACCCTCCTCCTCCTTCCTCCCTCCTCCTCCTCCTCCTCCTCCTCCTCCTTCTCGTCCTCCTCCTCCTCCTCCTCCTCCTCATCCTCCTCCTTCCTTCTCCTCTTCCTCCTCCTCCTCCTTCTCCACCCGTAGCGGATGACATGGGTCCGCTCCTCGGGGGCCATGTCGTGACTCCAGTGTGCCACGGTGGCGTCTCTGGGGCGCCCCCCCGTCTCGAAGACGACTGGGATGAGTTACCCTCCCTCTGGCGGATGGCGGTCCCGCTTGCTGTCTGCCGTGTTGGTGGCGGCAAGACCGCTCTTGTTTGAGCGTGCCTGCTGGCGTGGCGCGTTGCCGCTGCGTCCGAGAACACCGTCTGTCCAGTCACCGCACCGCGGGTGGCGACATCCAGCTGCGCCTCCTCGAGGCGCCCTGTCCGCGGGTTCACCCTGTCCCAAGCAGCAGCCCTCTGCTCCGTTTGTGCCAAGTGTCCTGTGGCCCGCTGGTGGTAGCCGGCGCAGAAGGTCCCGGAGTCCGGTGTGCGGCAGGGAGGGCCCGCGTGGGCATTTGAGGGCGTGCCGCCCGCGTCTGTCGAGCTGCTCTCCGCGTGCACTTCCGCCTTGCGTGCGGAGCTCGTATGTGGCTCCTGGCGGGCACAAGGGAAGCCAGAGTCTGTCTGCGAGGGCGACGCGGAAATGCTCGTCCGGCAGCGTGCTCTGTGTCACGCTGTCTCGGACGACGGGTGGCTCTAAGAACTCCCTGGCGCCCGGGCCGCCTGACGAGCGGAAGTCGACCCTGTCTTCCTTCTGCTCCCAGGGAGGCCAGCAGCCGTTCGCGGTTTCGCCTGCGGAGGTCGCTCGCCCACTTTCCTTGCATCCTTTGGAGCGGTTCGCCCATGCAGCCGGTCCAATCGATTGCCTCGAAAGCCCGCCCAGCCTGCAGTCGGGCCTCTGCTTTCGCCGTGGCCTCGGCCATTGGAGGGCAGCGCTCTTGGAGTCTGGCCCACGAGTGCTCGCCCAAGCAAGTGCTCACGCCGCCGAGGGTAAGCGCCCAGCTGTCCAGGTAGGCAGCGGCCGCCGCCTGCGTGGCCGAGGCGAACCCGAGGCCCCCGTCGGTCAAGTGCAGGAAGCATTGTGCCCGCTGGTCGGTGTCGAGGACGTCGCCCAGAAAGTCCTCCACTGCCTGTATGAAGGTCCCGTCGAGTCTGGCGAGCCAGTCTCCGTCCTCGTGGTTTATGCGGAGCAGGTGCGTGACGCATCCTCCCCTTTCTCCCTCCTCTTCCTCTTCCTCCTCCTCCTCCTCCTCGTCCTCCCCCTCGTCCTCCTCCTCTCTCGTCGTCGTCGTCGTCCTCCTCCTCCTCCTCCTCCTCCTCCTCCTCCATTCGTTTTCCTTGTGAATAATTCCTCCCTGTCGCAGCCCGAGGCCAGTCGGAAGGGCGGGCCGGGCGTTTAGCCTGAGACTTCAGGACCGTTTCTGATGCTGAAGTTTAACCACTGGCAGCCGCTTCGCAGACGGAGGGCGGGCCCTTCCGAGAGGTGGCTCTCGTCTGGGCGCCGCGGGCATCCGTCCAATCAAATTGCAGGAGTCTCGCGGGTTGAGGGCGGCCCGTTCTCGAACGGTGGTTCTTGCCCTAGTGTTGCGCACAATCGTTGTACATCATGGTGCGAGTTTCACGTGTTGAGGGCGGGCCCGTTGCAACATGTGGCTCTCGCCTTATCGCCGAGCAGTTCGTCTTACACATTTGCAACCTGGAGCGTATTCAGGAATATCAGGGCGCAACCGTTACGTTGATTCGTGGTGTTGACGTCCACGGAATGGTGCTCTCGCACGGTTCAGGATCTTCAACATGTAATTGTCAGGTTAAGTCGTGGCGTTGGAGTCCCGAAAACGGTGCGTGGGTACGCTTCAGGAACTTATCTATCTCCCAGCGAGGCAATTCCTTCAGTGGACATGAATCATTGTGGGAGCCTGCTCCTTCCTCCTCCATTCCTTTTCCTCCCCTGCCTCCTTCCTCCTCCTGTTCCTCCTCCTCCTCCTCCCTCTCCTTCTCCTCCCTCTTTCTCCTCCTCCTCCTCCTCCTCCACCTCCTCCTCCCTCCCTTCTTCCCCCCTCCTCCTCCCTCATTCCTCCTCTTCCCTCGTCCATCCTCCTCCCTCCTCATTCTCCCTCCCTCCTCCCTACTCCCTCCTCGTCCTCTCCCCTCCTCCTCGTCCTTCCCGTCCTTCTCCTCCCCTTCCTCCTCCTCCTTCTCCTCCTCCTCCTCCTCCTCCTCGTCCCCCCGTCCTCCTCCTCCTGCCTCGTCTTCTTTCTCCCGCCTTCTCCTCCTCCTGCTCCTCCTCCTCCTCCTTCGCCTCCTCCTCCTCCCGCTCCTGCTTTCCCTGCGCCTGGAAGGAAGCCTCCAGGCCGCTCAGATGGGGTCGGTGTAGACTGGGGTCGGCAGATCGCCACGCCGTGAAGGGAGCACCTCTTTCGCCAAAAAGCAGACTAGCCCTGAGCTTTCTGGCATGCTTCGCACCCGATCCATCGTTTCGGATACCTTTGTCGGTTTCTCTGCGGTTTCCAGCCCGCGGATGCGTTCGAGCAGCTACGCCCCGCCGTGGGCACGCTTGGGGTGTCCGAGCCGTTTCAAACGACCCGGAAGCTGAGACAACGGGTTCTGAGTTTGTTCGCTGTTCTCGGGTTCCTGGGGCCCCCAACGGGCCCCGCGGCCGTCAAACAGCGGCTCAGGATGAAGAGCTTGTCCTTGGGGGGCTCGGGGCCCAGGGCCCGTTTTCTTCAGGACCCGTTCGGTTCATGCTAATTTGTGGATGCTGGTGCCGCTGCTCGTTCTGAAGAACCCTCGTCACCCAGGCCAGATTCTCCATGGAAGTCTTGTTAGAACGTGCCCTGGGCTAAAACAAATGGGGGAGGCTAATTCGGTACCCCCCTCGGAGTTTGAAGCATGACCTTTGGGGGGACGCTTTTGGGCACCCCTTGGGCGTTCTTGGGGCCGTCTTGGGGCTCTGTTTGGTCATCTTGGGGTCCTTTGGCTATCTTGGAGGCGAAGCCCGTCGGAAGCGAAATGGCGAGACGGCACACAACTATGGGCTCCCTTAGGTTCTAAAGGATTTTGGCCTCTGAGAGGGTGCTTTGGACGACTGGAATGGGCACTCGGAGTCGTCTTGGGGCTGTCTGGGGATGTCTTGGAGGTATGTTGGAGACTATCTTGGGCCATGTTGCAGTATCTTTGGCCATCTTGGAGGTTATCTTGGGGTGTCGGGGGCCCCTTGGAGCCATCTTGGACCATCTTAACCGCTCGAATTGGTCTATCCCCCTCTGTCCAGAGCCAGGAGGAGGGGTCAGTAGAAGGGGTCAACCCCTCCCCGAAATCGGGAACAGGGGCAGAGGGAAGCTGGAGGAGGAAACGCTGCAGACCGCCTGCGCCGGGCCGGATTTCTTGGGTAGGCGATGGGCCCCCTATGAAAGCGCCTGCGGCGCCGCCCCTGGCGCGCTCCGCGCGCCGGGGCAGGGGGGTCCAGCGCCGATCCGGGAACTCCGCGCGGACCTCCGAACACTTGTGCTGGTCCTCGGACCCTCGCCCTCGAACCCTCGGGCCCGCGCCCTGGCCCTCGACCGTCGACCTCGTGCCCTCGGCCCTCGACGCTCCGCCTCGCTGCTGCCCTTGGCCCTCGACCTCGCCCAGCCTTCGAATGCTCATGCAGCTTCTCGCTCCCCGGGGCCTCGCCCTCGCCCGCGCGCCCGCCGGCCGAGGCTCAGTAGGCGCTAGGCCACCTCGCCGGTCTCGGCCGGGCTCGTCCTGGACCCAGGGTCGGTGTATGATCTGGACGCCCGCCATGGGTACGGAAATAATGGGTGCAATGCCCAACAGCAGCTCCTGTTCATCTTGAAGAGGACTCGCTGTCCGCGCCGCCGCGGCCTGTTTCCATTTGAGACAGAAGGCCGCCTGCCCAGCAGCGGCCGCTGTTGGTTTGGGACGACATTTGTTGTGGGGCATTGTACCCATCTTTTCCGTACCCATTTCGGGCGTCTAAATATGAGCCTCGGAGACGGCTGGGGGTCTGAGGTGGTCAAGCACGTCGCGTTTCTTGGAAACAGCATCAGAGCTTTTTTTTTTTTTTTTTTTTTTTTTTTTTTTTTTTTTTTTTTTTTTTTTTTTTTTTTTTTTTTTTTTTCTGTTGGAAAGTTTAACAACAGTCTCCAGAAATCTGGGCTCTGAGAGTGAGAGCGGTATCAAACACGTTCCTCCGAAACGGAGGAAAAGCACGCCTCCAGGATTAAAACTGGAGCCAGAACTGGAAAACAAATTGCGAAGGAACCGAACCAGAGGAGGCGAAAAGAAAACGAGGCGAAAAAAGGCGTTGTCGTCCCGAGAATAAGGCCAAGCACTGTCTTCGGCCAGCAGGAAGGGGGGCAGGTTCCAGGTGCTGGATTCGGCAAGGCTTTTCGCCTTTCCCGGTCTCCGGGGGTCGTTTTCGGGTTCAGAAGCGGACCCGTGGGGAAAAAGTGAACCAGATGTACCCGGGGAGGGTCCAGGGACTGATTTTTACGCGATTTGCCTTCCCCCCCCCGCTCGCATTCCGGCCGGTGCCGCCGACCCTGGATGCCTCGGGATGCGTGATTAGAGGTCGGAGATACAAGAAGACGTGGCGGAGGAGGAAGACGACGACGAGGTGGAGGAGGAGGAGGAGGAGGAGGAGGAAGAGGAGGAGGAGGAGCAGGAGGGAGGGGGAGGGGGAGGGGGAGGGCAGGGGGGGGGAGATGAGGGGACGGTGGATCGGGCTTACTAGCCCGCAGTCGTTCCCACGAAGTCCTCCCAAGTGTTGCCTCCTGTGCTCCCCTCACCCCTCCTCGAGGAGGTGACCGGTGACGGTGACGTTGGCGGCCCCCCTGCCAGGGCCCCCGCCGCCCCCGGGGGGCCGCCGAAGACCAGGGGAGCTTTCGGCTGCGCGCGAGGATCGAGGCTCGAGGGGGCGTCTCCGTGGGCCACAGGATCGAGGATCGACGATCGAGGGTCGAGGGTCGATGCGGTCGAGGGGTCGCCCCCGCCGCTCGCCGCTCTCCCTCGTGGCCTCCAGATCGCGCCGCCCCCTGCTTTCGGCCCCATCAGCTCGGACCCCGTCTGGGGTGATGAACGAGTTTTCCACGGGCGGAGGATGGGGAGGTCCTCCTCACTTTCCTCCTCCTCCTTCGCCTCCTCCTTCTCCTCCTCCTCGTCCTCCTCCTCCTCCTCCTCCGCCTCCTCCTCCTCATCCTCCTCCTCCTCCCTCCATCCTAGCCTCCTCCTCTCTCCTCCTCCTCCTCCTCTCCTCCTTCTCTCTTCCTCCTCTGGTCCTCTCCTCCTGACTCCTCTCCTCCTCTTCCTCCTCCTCCTTCCTCTCCCTGGTCCTCCTCCTCGTCCTCCTCCTCCTCCTCCTTCTCCTCCTCCTCCTTCCCCTCCTCCTCCTCCTCCTCCTCGTCCTCCTCGTCCTCCTCCTGGTCCTCCTCCTCCTCCTCCTCCTCCTCCTCCTCCTCCTCCTCCTCCTCCCTCTCCTACCTACGGTAGTGGTGGCGGAAAATCGGCCCATCATGGGCGGCCGCCACGTTGGCGGCCCCGGTGGGGCCCAGGCGGAGGAGGAACGCCGCGGTCGCGCGGATCAACCCGCCGAAGGCCTGGGCCTCCCCTCGCCCCGTCCTCCCTGCCTCGAGGAGGTCCTCGGTGACGGTGACGTTGGCGGCATCCCCCTGTCAGGGCACCCGCCGTTCCCCAGGGGGCCCGCCGAAGTCCAGGAGCACTCGGCGGCGCCCGAGGATCGAGGCTCCAGGATCGTGGAGGTCGGGCATGTCGGGGACGTCGAGGATCGAGGAATCGAGGGCATCGGGGATCGAGAGGTCCGAGGACCGAGGGCCGAGGACGACGGGGCCACCGAGGCTGCCGAGGAGGACGGACGCTCGGCGACCCTCGTGAGGCGTTGTGGCTCACACGCCCCCCCCTCCAGGTCAGCATCGTTTATCCGATCCCCATCCCCGCTGGGCCACCGTGCCTCGGCCCCACCGTCCCACCACCCCAGTGGGGGATGGACGCCTCGAGGCCCGACGGCAACCGCCTGCATCCCCGGCTAGGGGGGTAGATCGGCCAGCGGGGCCTGGGCCATGCCCGATGGGTTGGTCTAGGCCTCCCAGAAGGGGCCAGAGTACGGTAGACGGGTGGCCAATTGTTCTAGGTTGTTCTGTTTGCGCCCCCCCTCCGAGCCTGCATGCATGCAGGTGCGGAGTGCTTTCGAGACTGCCTGCATGCAGCTTCGGAGTGCTTTCTTTTCGACCTTCGACCCCATAGCTCGGACCCCATCAGCTCGGACCCCATCTGAGAGGCCTCTAGACGAGGATCGGTTAAACGACGCTCAACAGGGCCCCCGCCGCCCCGGGCCGGCAGTGAACGGGCTCGCCCTCTCCGGGCGTCCTCCCCCGCCACAGCGCGCGCGCGGGCGAGGGAGCTCCGCGCGGCGGCCGGGGACCATCGGCGGCGGCCTGTGGCGGCGGCGGCCCGCGGCGGCGGCGGCCCGCGGCGGCGGCGGCGGCGGCACGCGGCGGCGGCGGCGTCGCCGTCATCGTCAGTCGTCGTCGTCGTCGTCTCGGTCGTCGTCTTGGTCGTCGTCGTCGTCGTCGTCGTCGATCGTCGTCGTCGATTGTCGTCGTCAGTCGTCGTCGATCGTCGTCGTCGTCGTCGATCGTCGTCGTCGTCGGTCGTCGGTCGTTGTCGTTCGTCGTCAATCGTCAGTCGTCCTCGAAGATCGTCGATCGTCGTCATAGTCGTGGATCGAGGATCCCCGCGCGTGGCCGTTGGTGCCCCTCGCGCCCGCGCGGCGTCGGGCGCGGCCGCGTCACGGGAAAAGGCGCGCTCTCGGCGTCGGGTGGCCCCGTGGTCTTGTGGCGCGGGAAGGGGGGGAGCAGTGGAGGAGGGTGAGAGTGAGGGTGGTGGTGGTGGTGGTGGTGGTGGTGGTGGTGGTAAGGATAATTACGGTGAGGGCGGGAGTGCGGGTGTTGTTGTTGTTGTTGTTGTTGTTGTTGTTGTTGTGATTGTTGTTGTTGTTGTTGTTGTTGTTGTTGTTGTTGTTGTTGTTGTTGTTGTTGTTGTTGTTGTTGTTGTTGTTGTTGTTGTTGTTGTTGTTGTTGTTGTTGTTGTTGTTGTTGTTGTTGTTGTTGTTGTTGTTGTTGTTGTTGTTGTTGTTGTTGTTGTTGTTGTTGTTGTTGTTGTTGTTGTTGTTGTTGTTGTTGTTGTTGTTGTTGTTGTTGTTGTTGTCGTCGTTGTTGTTGTTGTTGTTGTTGTTGGTGGTGGTTAGGATGGTGGTGATGACGATGATGACGATGGTGCTGGCGATGATGATGATGCCGCTGCTGCTGCTGATGCTGATGATGACGATTACGATGATGCTGATGCTGATCAACGACGATTATGATGACGATACTGATGACGATGACGATGACGATGACGATGCTGCTGATGATGATGCTGCTGCTGATGATGACGACGATGCTGATGCTGCTCCTGCTGATGATGATGCTGATGATGACGACGGTGATAACGATGATGATGATGGCGATGATGCTGCTGCTGATGATTAGGATGATGATGCTGCTGATGATGTTGCTGCTGATGATGATGATGATGATGAGGAGGAGGAGGTGGTGGTGGTGGAGGAGGCTGTGCAGGCCATCTCAGGCTTAGCAGAGCTCTTTGTGAGCGCAGGTTTCAGCATTCCCAGCAACAGCCAGGCCTCTCCAGCCCCGTCGCTCTGGCTGGGCGCGTTAACAAAAACGCTGGCAGGTTGCCCCCGCCTCCCTTCACGAAGGTGCCGCAGGCGAGGACTTACGTATCAGCGCGGTCGGTCGGGCGCGTTCGGTAGCAGCTCTTAAAGCAGAGGATCGCCAAGGCCAAGCATCGCGCCGCGACTATCAAGCGGGTCGTCGAGATGGATCGTGGAGCCAAGGGTCTTGCGGAGACGGGCGGGGCGCCTGGGCCCTCGGGGGCTGTGAGGCCTGTGGGGCCAGCCTAACCGTGGCCTTGCATGCCGAGTCCTCCATGCTGGCATGATGGGGTGGAAGCCCGGGGGCTGCGCGGCCCGGCCACAGTGCTGCAGCTGTCCTTCAAGAGGCCGCGCGTGGTCCAATGGTTGCCGAGCTCCTCTGATTTTTTTAAAGGAATGGGCTGTGTGGCCCCCTCCCTCTCTCCAGGCCAACGAACGCGGACGGGCTCGGAGTGCCTCGGCAGCGCCAGAGGCAGGCTCGAGGAGGAGGGTGCCCGATGGCAGCGAGTCGGCAGATCTATTAGAGCTACTGCTGCTTGCCATCTAACAAGTTGTACCCAGGACCAACTTGACAGCTGGATTGATGTAGACGGCGAGAGCTTTAATCTTCCACTGTGCGACAGGGAGAGGCTTTTTGATCTCGCTCTGGTCGCTGCCCGTGGCAGAGATTTCCAGAAGCAGGCTGGCGAACGCTACCGCGGCAACGACCTCGTAGAAGAAGCTAGCCTTTGAGTGCCACTCAGGAAGCTCTGCGAACTCAGGCACTCTGGAGCCCATGGTCATGGGCCTGTTTTCCACCACCACCACCACCATTTGTTGGAGGGGGGCAAGGAGGTGGATGATGAGGAAGAGGACGAGGACGAGGAGGAGGAGGAGGAGGAGGAGGAGAACCCCCTCCCCCTCCTACTATGGTGGTGGTGGTGGTGGTGGTGGTGGTGGTGGTGAACAAGCCCACCACATGGTGAGGCGGGGGTCCTGGACTCGATTCTTGCGGGGGCCCCACCGCGGGCCCCTAGGCGTTTCGGTTCGGAGTCCATGCGGCTTTTCCTGAGGGCGTCGGGCTTCCCCTCCCAAGACCAGGCCCCTCAGGCCCCCCATGGAGATCGACAGGTCGGTGGCTCTCGCGAAGGCATGATCGACCGAGCCAGCCCAGATGAGGGCGCGCAATAACATGCTTGTCTCTGCCCGCCCTGTGACGATGAGCCCCTGGTGGGGCCCGGCCCGCCCTGGCCCCCCCCCCCCAGCTGTCCAACCCTCACCAGTTGTGGCTCTGCCCATAGACCAGCGATATCCTATGTTTCAGGGGTGAGTTGGTCCAGGTTGCGCCTGACGGGGCCTCGGACCACCCTGGCTTTTGGCTCAGGGGACTCCCTCCGAGACCCTGGGTTTCCCGTTTCTGTGCTGTCCCCGTTCAAGACGAAAAGAGGTTCTGTCCTGTTTTAGCTCTTGGCCCATTCGAGCTAGATGGTAGATGAGGAGCGCGTGATCGGGTCGGACGGGGCGGGCGGGGAGGATCGCCTTGACCAGCGCGCCAGGCGACGTGGATGGGGCTTCCCCGTTATGAGACAAGAACGGCATGTCAGCTAGGGGCTTGGTCCATTGGCCGCTGGCAGACAGGCGGCCCCAGCGGCCGACCTTGCCGTCGTCGCGAGGGCGCTGAAAGTAACCGCGGACCCCTCGCCTGCGTCATAGACGACGAAGGGGTGGTCGAGGGCGTCCGTGCGGGCCCCCTCTTCAGGGCAAGGAGATGGTAGGCCTTTGGCGTCAGTTCTGGGGGGGCCGAGGGGGCCGGGTCCATTCGAGTCCACCACGTTCGTTCGCACCTCGAGTTCGACGATGCTCTGCCCCGAGGATATGATATCTCTCACTGGCGGATCAAAATGCTTGCAGACGAAGCCGCAGATGAGGGGACCAAGATGTCTCATATCTTTGCTTGCCGACAGGGAGGAACGGGTTCAGAATGACACTAGAATCTCCAAGGTCCTGTACTCGTTGCTGGCGGTCTCTTTTGCTTTGGTCCAGCGGGCCCCAGCCTGGTATGGATCCCCTTCCAAGGGGAATCGGCCTGGAGAGGCAAAGACAGGGCTGGCCAGCAGAAAAGCGCCAAAGAACGCCAAATTGAGCTGCTTTCGGCCCAGACGCAGCGCTAGGTGGAGAAGATTTGTTTTCGCAGGACGTAGGGAACAGAGCTGTTTCCCTCCAGTCCGACTGTCGGCGGATCCCTTCTCAGTGCCATGGATTCCATCGTCGATTCCTCATGAGCTGTGCACTTGAGCCACGTCTGTAGAGGCACGGAGGTCCCCATCAGGAGGGAAACTCCCCAAACTCGGACGGCAGTGCATCCCTGGGTTGTCCATGCGCGGCAAGGGTGTTTTTTTCCCCGGACTCTCTGCGGGCAAGCTCCCTGCTGACTTGAAGGCGTGGCCTGGATGAGGAGGGATCACGAAGCCAAAGCCCAAACTCCTGTTGGGTCTCTGGCGGGGGGTTGGAATTCTCGCTGGTGGCGACAAAATCCCCTTTGGATGGGGCTGGCCTCGAACCTTTTTTATCTTCCCCTGGAAGCCCGCATTGGAACCCTCCTCGGCAGTCAAACACGGGGCAAGAGGGAGAGAGAGGAGAAGGAGGAGCAGGAGGAGGAATGAGGGTGATGATGATATAGGAAAGGGGAGGGACATGATAATTTGAAGGAGGATCTGGAAGACGAGAGGGGCAACATTGAAGGAACTGGGCAGACATGAGCATGCAGAATGATGGGGCGGTGGAGCGAGGAGGAGGAGGGGGAGGAGGATGCCTTTTGGCCTCCGCGGTTAAGTTTCGGGGGGAATTTCGGCTAGTCTGAGGGACACCATGACCAAGCAGGGAGTGGTTGCGGACAGCGCTGACAGATTCACGGGCAAAGCCCGGCAAAAGATGATTGGGCTCAGTTTGACCACTATTTTGACCCCCTTGCCTTCTCCTCGTCGTCGTCGTCGTCGTCCTCCTCCTCCTCCTCCTCCTCCTCCTCCTCCTCCTCTACCCCTTCCTAACATTAGGTGCCATGGTCAACACAATCATTTACAGCACACCAAACACATCAGCTACGTGCAGCAACTTCTCCTCCTGCCTCTGCTGTTGTGGGGGGCCTCGCGAGGGCTCCCCCGCCACTCCCCCCTCACCCCCATCGCCTGCGACCACGTGTGCATCTCCAGCTCCCCCCCGAGGGCACCACGGGCAGGCGGTCACGCGTCTGGACCCCTGGCGGACTGACGTTTGGGATCCCAGAGCGTCTTGGACCCCCCCCCTCTCTGGGACGCCCCCGACCCCCGGATCCTCAAGAGGGGCTGACGTTTGGGATCCCAGAGCGTCTTGGACGCCTCCCCCCCCCCTGGGACGCCCCCGACCCCTGGATCCTCAAGAGGGGTTCAGGAACGCCTTCCCCCCGCCTCTCGGGTCTGAGCAGCTGATGGGCGCTCGGTCTTCGAGCCTCGATCCTCGACCTTCGAAGCTCGGATCCCCGAGCCTCGAGCCCCGACCCTCGGCCCTCGATTCTCGAGCCGCGGGCCTCCCCCGCGGCCCGAGCTCGCCTCGATCCTCGGGCCTCGATCCGCTTCCTCCTCCTCGGCTCCCTCCGCTCCACGGAGCTGGGCTGGGG